TCAGCAGGAGGGTGTAGCAAGAATCTTAAAAGTTCTTATTAATAAAATCAAACCTGAGGCCAGTTATTGGGTGAACACTGGAAGATCAGAGAGACAGAAAAAGCCACAGCTAACCTCACCTGGCCAACTTCTCAGCTGGTCTTGTTTCCTCAGACTGGGATTAAAGGCGTGTGTCACCGTGCCTGGCCGTTTCCAGTGTGGCCTTGAACTCACAGAGATCCAGAGGGATTAAAGGTGTGAATGCCACCATTTTCTAGCCTTTGTATCTAGTGGCTGTTCTGTCTCTGACCCCAGATAAGTTTATTAGGGTGTACCATATTTTGGGGAACACAATACCACCACAGGAGGGTCTTATAATCCATTTCTGAAGGGTATTCAAGAACAGTAGTAATAGCCTATAATTTAGGGGGAAAAGACCCCACTGCCCAATGACTTGTCAAGAGGTAGTTCATACTTGGCACTGGGCTTTTTATTTGATAATCATAGTGTATTATTCCTCTGTTATAGAATAACTCCATTTAATTTCCATATATACTTTTTAATTTTCATATATGTACATATTTTAGGAAGTTCATACAGTAATAAATTTCCACATAGAATTTTCAAAGATTTTTGGTGTTATTCATCCCTCCTCATACTCCCTCCTCTACCCTGCCCTCCCACCCCACCACGTTTAACCTTTCCTGTTCCATCATTCCCCCTTCTGCCTCCATTACACCTGCATTCTATCCACCTTCTCTTAAAATCCCCCATGACTTCTTACTAGTTCCCTGACTTCTATGGATCCTCAGCCTAAATGCCTATGAACTCCTGAATAGATAATGAAAATATACATGCACACAACAGAATATTATTCAGCTGCAAAGAAAAATGAAATTTAGAGGTAAATGGATGAAGCTAGTAATAATCATTCAGAGTGAGGCAACTCAGATACATAAAATTTGGTGATATGTTTGTAATCTAAGAAATAAAGCTTTCCTGAAGATCAGAGGATAGAACCAGCCACAGAGTTAAACATAGAGGTCAGGCAGTGGTGGCACACACCTTTAATCCTAGTACTTGGGATCTGGATCTCTGTGAGCTCAAGGCCACACTGGGCTACATGAGATTGATCTAGTCTAAGAGAAAAACAGAGCCAGGCAGTGATGGCACACACCTTTAACCCCAGTATTTGGGAAGCACACACGTCATTAATCCCAGCACTAGGAAGACTGAGATAGGAAGTGAAATGGCTGGGTGGAGAAAGGCATATAAGGCCGAGGAGACAGGAACTGAGCCCTTTCCACTGAGGACTCAAAGGCATTCAGTCAGAGGATTCATGGAGTTGGCGACGTGAGAAGTAGTTGTGGCTTGTTCCTTTGTCAGTCTGATCTTTTGGGATTTACCCCAATATCTGGCTCCAGGTTTTTATTAAGACCAATTAGGATTTGTGCAACAATAAAGAGAAATGTTAAATGTTCTCTCCTGTATGTAGGTGCAAGATTTGAAACTTGGATATGTATGTTTAAATTAAAATGCGTAAAAATATTTTGTTCTTAGTAATGAAAACACCATGGTTATGTTGAGTATGTATATTGGCTCAATATCATCACCTCAGCTTCCTGATTGTGATCTATTTCATTTCTAGAGCTTTTCTCCCTGTATGTTCAAACCTGGTGTACTGAAAGACTTGGAAAAATTTGTATTCCTGCTTTCATGACTCTTGCTCTCTGCAAGTTCCACTGTACCATCAAATGAATAAACAATATGAGGGAAAGAGTAGATACACCCCACAAAGTACTCCTGAGACCAAAATACTTAAGCTGTTACTTCAGCCTATAGTTTAGTAAACCCACTTTAAAGGAATTGAAACAACGAAGACCCAGATAAGAGGCTAACCTAGCCACCCTGGGGATTGTTCCAGAAGTACAGGATGCCTCTTTCAAACTAATTTTTGGATTCTATCCCAAAGGATAGAAGATATCTCCTTGGAGATAAACCCTCTACTGCTCTGGCCCCATGTGTTCTCATCCCTCGCTGTTACTGATTCACTGCTCTGTAGATGTAACCAACCGTCTTATTAAATAAGAAACACAGAACCAATGCAAAGAAGAAAGCCAAGAGGTCAGAGCTTAGAGCTAAAACCTTACCCTTCCTCCTGCGGTGGTCCTACCTCTCCAAAAGATAGCTACTTCCTGTGTTAAAGTCTTTATATAGACTTTCTGTTCTGCCTTCTCATTGGTTGTAAACCCAACCACATGATCGCCTCATCACTGCCTGTCTGTACAGACCTCCAGGTCTTCTATAGTTGGTATTGAGGTTAAAGGCATGTGTATCCAATGCTGGCTGTATCCCTGAACACACAGAGACTTACCTAGCTCTGCCTACCAAGTGCTGGGATTACAAGCATACGCCACCACCACCCGGCTTTCCTATGGCTTGCTAATAGCTCTGACCCCTGAGCAACTTTATTTATTAACATACAAATAGCGTTTTAATACAAATAAAATATCACCATACTACTCCCATATGACTACTTCACCAGCTTGGGGATAGTAGACAGACAGCACATTTGTTTCATAGCACCTCTTTTCTTTCATAAAACAAGAATACAATTCAAGAGAAAATTCTGTAATGCACTAAAAAGACCTAGGAAAACTAAAATGAGATCTTGGTGAACTTCTGTATTTAAAGTGCAGAATAACCAATAACTAGGAGTATAATGGTGCATACTGATTATCTCAGGGGAGTAGAAGCAAGTGGATCATGTGTTCCAGTTAAACTGGCCTGCACCAACAAGATTCTGTTTCAAAAGACAAAAGCCGCAAGATGTAGTTCAGTGGTTGAGTGCTCTCCTAGCAAGTGCAAGAATCTAGATTCAGTCCTCAGTACTAAGAAAATACAAAAAAGTAAACCTCAAGCACACAGCTTTGTGTATTAGAATACCCTCTATGAAAAAGATCATCATTTGGGACTGGGGGTGTTGCTCATTGGTAGAATGCTTGATTAGCATGCATGAAGCCTGGAGTTTGACCCTAGTACTTTATGAACCAAGTATGGTGACACAAACCTGGAATTCCAGCACCCAGGAGGTGGAGGTACATGGATCACAAGTTCAAGGGCATTTTCAGCTATATAGGTGAGAGGTCAACCTGAGCTTCATAAGACCCTGTCTCAAAAAATATCTTCTTTGTGAATTTTTTTTTGAGACCGCCTCCCAGTATAGGACTTTTCCTAGCTACTAAATACATGACATTGTGCAGCAAGTACTTCATGAGCTGGGTGGGATTGCTGGGCTGCAGTCTGGGGAAGCCTGTATAAAAGATTTCTACTGTATCATTGTCTTTGTAAATAGGTGTGAAAGCTTTGCTGACTAATTCTGTGGTTTCTTTGTGAGTTTTATATTCACGGAATGTGATTAAAGTTCGCAAGTAAGTTGCTGATACTATAGTAAGTCAAACCCAAGAAAACCTCTAAATCCCAAAGTCTATTCTGTGCATGAGTTGTTAATGCTAATCAGATGCCATTAAAGTAAAATGTGAGCTTCTTAGTCAGAGGGGTGGGAAAAGTACAAAGTTATACCTTTCTGTATTCAGATCTGGAAAGCTAAGCCAACACCTCTAGGCTGTAAATGTCCCATGCCCAGACTTCCATGGGAACAAATCTTTTTAGGAACCTGAGGCATCTTGGGAGAATCCTGAGGACACTGGTTGTATTCCCTAGGCACTCTCTGGTACGGCAGGAAGTCCAATATTATGGTCCTTCAGGGTTGCCTTCCTGGTCTGCCATAACAGTGGAAGACCAGGGGCCAGAAAAACAAATAAATTCAAAGTACAAAGATCTCTATTGAAGACCACATTTGCCTCCACAAGATGTATGTCTTTTGACCTGTACAATTATTCTCTAAAAGAAGGAAATTAAGCTGGAAAATTATTATTTGCGTATGTACATATGTGTATGTGCACATATGTGTGCAAATGTGTATATGTATGTATGTGTGTACATGTATGCACACCTGCATGGAGACCAGAGTCAACATTGGGTTGACTGTGTCTCCCTCACTTGTTCTCCATTTTGTTTTTTGAGACAGGATCTCTCACTGGTCTTGAACTCACCAAGCAGGTTAGGCTGGTTAGCCAGTAAGCACCAATAATCTTCTCCAGCACTGGAACCATAGACGCTGTCTTTTTATGTGGATTCTGGGAGATAGAACTCATGTCTTCATGCTTGAGTTTACTGAGTTTGATTTACTGAGTCATCTTCCCAGACGCAGGGAAATTATTTTTAAAGCTTAAATTTCTGTTGCTCATGAAGCTCTTCTTATAGACCAGGCCTTGCTAAGTGGCTTTCAAATCTTTCTTCATTCCGATCTCTTCCTAGCACTGTGGTGACTACCCATTCTCTAGAAGAGAAAAAAAATGAGGCAAGTTGCAGTAGCTGAAATGTCATCAAACTGCAGAGCTCAAATTCAATCCAGATTGTCTATCTTCATAACCTCTGAACCTCTCAACCACTGAGCTGTGAGGTCTCCCTGCCAGGTTGACATGGAGACCTGTTAGAAGGGAATAAAGAAATCCATTTGCTGATGCCCGTGCATCTGCCAAAGTCTCCTTCAGGCTGCTTTCCTGCTTCTCTTGAATGAAAGTGGAAAGGAAGACTGGATTTGTTTATACTAGGGTTGCTTCAGCAGAGCAGGCTGGTGTACTGGGGCTTGCTTTGCCCTCCTCACTTCAGAATACAGGGAGGCAGGCTGGGCGAGCTCGGCTTTCTGCCAAACAGAGGTTTGCTTTTAATTCTCCACGTCTCCCACAGTTATGTAGCTGAGGTTAGGGGCATGTCACTAATCTTCCCTGAATTTCTGAGTCCAGAATTAGCTTTGTCCTTCCAACTTCAAAGTCTCACTTCATAAACAGCTCCTTTGGAGCAAAAGTGGCTTCCTGTGGGTTTTAATCACTTTGGTGAACCTGTGAATTTCTCTTGTTTAATGCCTGTCTGCTTTCTGTCCCTGTGTTTTGTGTCAGCTTTGGCATCCAGCATGATGGAAAAGAAAATGACTGTGAGCCTGTGGGCAGGCACCCATACATCATGTCCCAGCAAATTCAGTATGATCCCACTCCACTGACATGGTCCAAGTGCAGCAAAGAGTACATCACTCGCTTCCTGGAGTAAGTGCAGTTACCTTTCATGGTGGCCTCACGTGGGTCTCTAAGTCAGACGTTGTAATGAGTTTTCCACAGTGGAGTTAATGCCGGGGAAAGACTTGGTTTCATGTTCCAGTCCCAGTATCATGGTGGCATCACAGGAGTGGATGCCCCATCTGCTTGCTGACTATTTTCCCCTGTCCACAGGCAAGTGAGCAGCAACCTGCTTCTCCCTGGTTGATACCGCCCAATGTGTGTGTGTGTGTGTGTGTGTGTGTGTGTGTGTGTGTGTGTGTGTGTATTAGATTAAGTTATTGAGACTGACAGGTCAGAAATGTTCAGTCAAACCTGTTAGCAACAAAATCACGATTGTCGATTTCCCCACCTACCTACCTCTTGTTTTGTCTTTGTTACCTTGACACACACTACTAGATTTAGGTGGGAAGGAAAACCTCAGTTGAGAAAAAACGCTCCCATCAGATTGCCTTTAGGCAAGTCTGTAGTGCATTGTCTTGATTACTGATGGATGGGAGTGGGCAGATGGTCTTGAGTTGTGTGAGAAAGCAGGCTGAGTAAGGCATAAGGAGCAAGCCAGTAACAAGCACTCCTCCATGACTTCCGCTTCAGTTCCTGCCTCCAGGTTTCTACCTTTGCTTCCCCCATAGATAGAATGGTACCCAGAAGTAGAAGAAGCAATAAGCTTTACAAGAACACCAAGCTACATAACCGTAACATATACACAGAGGACCTAGTCAGACCCATACAGAGTCCTGCTCTGTTTTTGGGATGGAAAAGGAGGAGGAGTGGATCTGGGGGAGAGGTGAGGTTGGGGGAGGGAATAGGAGGGAAAACTCCAGTCAGGATATAATGTATGAGAGAAAGTTTTTTGAAGGAGGAGGAGGAGGAAGAGGAAGAGGAGGGGGAGGAAGAGGAGAATATAATAAGCTCTTTCTTCCCAAGTTGCTTTTGGTCATAGTCTTTATCACAGCAATAGAAACCTAACTAGGACACCCACAATTTGTATTTCCTAGATAACAACGAAATGTATTCTGTTGGATATGATTTGCATTTCCTTTTATCAACTTTCTTCAAAGGCCCATAGGGTTCTCTTGCTTATAAGAATAAGGCTGTCAGGAAAGACAAAGAAGAAATTGTTATGATGAAAATGTCTATTGGATGACTAGAAAGTCATAAGCAACTGCTCTGGTATTTTGCTGACTTGTTTGCAGCCGAGGCAGGGGATTCTGTCTTGATGATATCCCCAAAAAGAAAGGCTTGAAGTCCAACGTCATTGCTCCAGGGGTGATTTATGACGTTCATCACCAGTGCCAGCTCCAATATGGCCCCAATGCTACGTTTTGCCAGGAAGTGGAAGTAAGTGCTGGGTTTCTTGGAACCTCTGGTGGGTCTGTGCAAGGTTTGAGATCTGCAGCATGCTGAAGGAAGCACCAGGAAAAGCTTGGAAACTGCAGGCCCAGGCCCAGAAATGAAAGCTTTTTAAATATGTTCATATTTATGCAAAACAGAAACATACAATTGGGATCACTGACATTCTCAGACCCAACTTTCTTGGAGTTCTATGAAACACAGACTCCTATGCAACTTGGAGGCAGTTCCGTGGTGACTTACAGAGTTCAAGCATTTAACACCGATGAACTCTATAGCTGTTAACTTACTCCTTACAATTGTCCCCTTTCAGAATTTATCTTTCATTGAAGGATATCCTGAGATCACAGTGTAGGAATTAGACTCATCCCCAGTCACTCTTCTTCTCCGTTATTTTCAAGTCTTGGCGTCGTGCTCTTAAATAATTAACATCTCAGTCTTGCCTTCTTATCACCACTGCTGTCTCAATTCTGCTGCTCTTCTGTTGATATTGTGACTACCAACCCTCTGGCTACTATTCAGAATGCTGTTCCCATTATTTTAAAAGCACAAATCTAACCATGCTTCTATTCTGTTCTTAGAGTCATGACTAACCTTTGGAAACAATCCCAAGTCCTTGTGTCACATTTTTTTATAATTTGGACCCAGCCTACCCTACATTTTATATATATATATATATCATAGATGATAGATAGATACATGTAATCCTATTTGTCAATTCTTGGTGCCTGTTAGCTTCTTATCTTCTAAGTTACTAGGTTTTTCTTAGAGAATATATCTCCATGCAGGGTTTGAAAGTGCAACAGAGTGCAATCTCACATTTGTTTTTCAGAATATCTGCCAGACACTGTGGTGCTCTGTAAAAGGCTTCTGTCGCTCGAAGCTGGATGCTGCTGCAGACGGGACACGCTGTGGTGAGAAGAAGGTGATGTGTCCTTTGCCTGAGGAAGAAAGGTGGGAGGGCACTTGGCCTGGAGTTCTTGGAAAGAGGCGGGAAGAAGGCCCTGGAGGATGTGATGAGCACCCAGTGTCGCTCACACAGTCAGACCAGACACAGAAATGATTCCACCTCTGATGCTCTTTCCAACCTTTGCTGGGACCAGGTGGTCTGTGAGAAAGGCTGAGCACAGCTCTATACTTTCCCTGCAGAGCATTAGCCCCATCTTCTCCTGATGAACTTCTATGGAGTTCCCGGTCTTTTTGGAGCTTGCTAATGAACTTTCATTTTTGACATTTCTCCCTCAAGACTGGAAAGCATTGGCGAGTGGCTTCTTCTTTTCATAAACATCAGATTGGGGTCCTTTATAATCTTCCTTCTTTCTGTCTGGCATGACTAAATGTCTTAAAGGTCTGCCCACTTTCTTAAGTAGAACAGTCTTACAGCCACAACTCACAGACATTAGATCTCCTCCAGACTGCCCGAGGGGATGGTGACCCATTAAGTGAGTTGGATTATTGTGGGTCTCTGGCTTAGGAGTTTAGTGAGTATCTTTATATAGCTTGAGTTTGGCACCATCCATCATTGAGTTTATAGATATAGTATAAAACTGATACTAGAAACTAAACGTATTGAGGAAGTATGTGAGCCCTTTTCAGTGCGGCCCCTGATGTATTATTCTAGGAAGTCTGGCTTGGAAGGAACTGGGTTCAGACTAAGAAAGCCTTTGGCCCTGCTTGCTATGGAATCTTCCTGACACGTGTTCCCTCTATCATTATCTCTTTGCAGTGGTGTATGGCTGGAAAGTGTATCACAGTGGGGAAGAAACCAGAGAGCATCCCTGGAGGCTGGGGACGCTGGTCACCCTGGTCCCACTGCTCCAGGACCTGTGGGGCGGGAGCTCAGAGTGCAGAGAGGCTCTGCAACAACCCCGAGTAAGGCCTGGCATGGTTTACTTTCCTTTCTCTGTACGTGCTGGGACACTATTCTCGAATGGCAGGACACCATTCTTGAAGGTGTCTGAGAGAAATTAGATCAATTCCCAAAGGCCAAAAGACCCAGACGATTCACACGGGGTGAAAAAAGGACTTCGGTTTCGATATGTTTTTACTTGGCATTGGAGTCTTAACTGACAAGTAAGCTTATTCCATCATTTGGATGAAACAAAGCCATTTTAAATGTATAAGAAAATTTCTTTTAAACATTCTATCTATGCAGAAGCCTCTGAGAGCTAATGCAGTTAGATCCTTCCAGATAACTATACTCTATCAGTAAGAAGTAGATTCATTAAACTCAGTTTTGTTGATATGATTATAAGTGGGTTTCAATCACAATGAATGTACAATTACATAAAAGTATTCATCCCTCATGTAAGTAGTAAAATGGTCATGTACATTTCTGAAGTTAATTATCAATATTAAGATTCTAACAACATATTTTTATGAATCTTAGGATTATATAATGGCCTGTAAAGGATTTCATAATTCTATTTTTTAATTCAATATTTTCATATAATAAACTTATAATGCTACATGTGTTTAAATTGTCATGCTCTTAAATATATTGCATTCTTTATTTCGTTACTTCCTCACATACAAGTTCCTAAGTATACAATTTTTTTAAGGATGCATTTGATACTTCTTAGAAGTGGAAACAAGACTACACTTCTTTTTTCCTTGACTTGCCTTTGCTTTGAAGAATAAGAGCCACATTTTTTAAAAGCAAGTGATAAAAGTGATTACAAGGCCTCTCAGTATCTAAGTTCCAAATTTTAATTGTCTCCTTTGCTTAATAAACATAGTAATATATATGTATATGTATATATATATCATATGTACATGTGTTATATATGCATACTATTTGCTATATGTAAAGTGTGTTTTTCTGAGGATTAGATTTTAATATCTGTAGCTTAACATATTACCTATTATATAATAAATTACAAATAAGTGGTACTTATGAGGTCACCACTTACAAATATAAGGATTTGCATAAGGAATGATGATATATTTGTTTTAAATTTTTGTCCCTCAATAAAACTGTATTACTTCAAAAATTCAACAGCAGGACTTTCTTATATAGTCCTTTATTTTTAGAGAAAATACTTATCAGTTTGGCCAGAAATGTGCTTTTACAGATAGAAAATATGGACAATTTTCTCTGAGACTTGTGATGTGTATTCAGCCACCACTCCCTAAACTTGGGAAGATGTTCAGTAACATATTGGTCTTCAGAGACGGTAGGGAGGGTCTAGCTGAGGAATTGACGAATGATTCCCTAGTTCAGTGTTAGAAGATAAGGTATCCTAAAGCCCATCTCCAAGGCTGCAATTTCTCAGTCTCACTGGGTAAGTGATAACATCTGATGCCATAACTCATTTTCCTGATTTTATTGAGACCGCTGTCAATGGGAACTGTAGCAGGCTTCTTTCTTTTGGGACAACAACCAGCTCCCAAGTCATGACACAGAGACTTTCTATTAGTTATAAATGCTCGGCCTAGCTTAGGCTCATTTCTGGCTAGCTCTTTTAACTTAAATTAACCTTTCTCTTTATCTACCCTTTGCCTCAGAGATTTTTACTTTTTTTTCCTTCTGTATGTCTTACTTTCACTGCTTCTTATGTCTGGCTGGCTGGTGGCTGCCTGGCTTCTTGCTCTGGGTGTGTCTCTTTCTTTCTCCCTTGTTCCCTTCTCTCATTCTTCTTTTTCATTCTTCCTCTTAGATTTCTCCTCCAATTTATTAATTCTGCCTGCCAGCCCCATCTGTTCTTCTCCTGCCTAGCTATTGGCCATTCAGCTTTTTATTAGACCAATCAGGTGCCTTTTGCAGGCAAGGTGAAACAAATGCAACACATCTTTACATAATTAAATACACATCCTTACATCATTAAATAAATGCAACATAAACAAATGTAACACACTTTTACACAGTTAAAGTAATGTTCTGAAGCATAAACAAATGTTAACACATCTATGCTTAGTTAAAATAATATTCCACAATAGGGAACAAGTTGTATAAAGATCTCTGTGATTCCAGTCACACAGTCAGATTAGTGTATGAGCCCAGCTATACTCACTTATGCTGGAAGACTATAGCTTTCTTTGATCACAATTAATACACAATTGTCTAAAAAAATATTTTTCTCTGGGTACTTTTCCTGACCTTATCTTTGACAGTGAGACCAACCACAGGGATCCTGGCAGAGTTTGGCTTATAAGAGGCTCTTGGTAATATTTGTCAAATGGAAATAAGATGGACAGGTGCCAAGTCACAGAGTCTCTGTTACTGAATGAATACTAGCATGACCTCAGAAGTTAAGGACAATTCTTAGTACCTCCTACAAGAAGAGATGAATGAAAAGCCTGCTAGGTGAGCTGCCCTAAGCTCAAGTCACACTAAGAAAGATGGGAAGGGAGTAGCATAATTCTGATGAATGTCAAAGAGAACAAGAACATGACTAGACTTGTACGATTGTCTCTCAGGGCTGTAGATTGGCTGAGACAGCCATGGATGAGAACTCAGGCTGTAGATCATAACACATGGTCCAAACCTTGGCTTTGCCACTGTCAGCTGGGTAAAGACACTTCTTGCTTCCAGCATGTACTTGCATCTCTCCTGCTCACAAATTGGCCTTTTCTCTGAGACTGTTCTCTAGGTCTCTCCCTTCCAGTAACTCTTTCTAGCCAACCCCACTTCCACTTACTGCTCTCTCCTATCCAAAGCTTTATTCTACTCAGGGTCAGGCATACTTAGTTATTGTGTTAAAATTCCTCACTTCTTATGTAGGTTTATTAAGGGCTAGAGAGATGGCTCAGCCATTAGAGGCTAGGCTCACGACCACGATTTATTTTAATGTTTTTCACAATATTGTAAATTTCAAGGAAGCACAGGACTTGTGTTGACTATATACTAATTCTGTCTTCCTCACAGCATGGTGTTGAGAACAGTATTGTATTTCCATGTTGGTTTGTATTCACGATCTCTAAAAGAGTGTATTGTGTTGTCAATTCTTAGCATGTACTAACTACTACTCTATTAAATGTTTATGTGCATTGTCTCATCAGACCTTTAATATCTCTATAGAATAAAGATCAGCATGCTCATTTCATAGTAAAAAATAACTGAGACTCAGAGAATTAAGACAGCTTGTTTAGATTCATCTGACTGCTAGAAAGTTAACCTGATTTGAGTTCCAGTCTTTGGCCTTCATTATGTTACACTCCAGTGATGGTCACTGTATCTCTCCGGGGTACAGCAAGGGACAGGTAAGAAGGTGAAATAAGTCACCTGGGAGCTATCAAAGGATATACAGCTGCCCTCAGCTTCTCTGAGAGCAGATTTGATACACCATCTTCTCCCCTTATACATGATACTGACTGAGGGGTTCTCATATCCCCACGTGAGTTACAGAGGAAATAAAATGTGGCAAATGTGTTCTAGAAATAAGATTAATTTACTTCTTTATTGAATAGTTAAGATGTCACTGTGCTTACAGCACTACATAGAGGAATTAGAACTTGAACAGTGTCGTTAAAGGACTATCCTCAGGAAAAATCCAGTAAGTACAGTTAGAACAAGGAGTGTCTTTTAAAATGAGAAAGAGATCACTTGTGGTTGGAGTCCAGGAAGGATTTATGATGGAGGGAGCATTTATTTGGTCCTCAAAGAATAGACAGCATATAGACATGTGAAAGCTCAAGAGGAAGGAAGTCCAGCAGAGGCACAGAGAAACACTATGACAGAGGGAGAAGTATATGAAGAAGACTATGCAAAGCAAGACTCAGAGAGTCACTTAAGACAGGACCACAAAAGCCCAGAGTGCCAGTCTCAGGATCTGAGACTTGACTGACATGATTTCCAGCTGCTGAGTGACACTAAACATCCTTAAACAAGAAACTAATAAACTTAAGATAATCTAATAGTATACAGACAACATTGTGCACCGTGGATTGTATTTGTTTTCAATGGACAAAGGGAACACAGGAATGAAGGACTGGAGCAACAGTCAGACTGGTCTGGTAGCTAAATAACTGAGGAAGAGAAAACACATATAAAAATACAGCTCTATAGGCTGGACATGGTGGTGAATGCCTTGGTTGTTGTTGTTGTTTGTTTTGTTTTGTTTTTTCAAGACAAGGTTTCTCTGTGTAACAGTCCTGGCTGTTCTGAAACTCACTTTTTATAGACCAGGCTGGCCTCAAACTCAAAGAGATCCACCTGCCTCTGCCTTCCAAGTGCTGAGATTAAAGGCATGTGCCAAGCATGCCCAGTGAATGCCTTTTATTTTAGCACTCTGGAGGTGAAGACAGATCTCTGTAAGATCAAGGCCAGCCTGGTCTACCTGGCAAGTTTCAGGCCAGTCGGGAGTACATAATTAGATTTGATCTCAAAAACAAATAAATAAATAAATGCAAACAACTGGTAGCCAGGTCCAAGATTGGCCATGTATGAATGGTTCTGCAATCTCACCACTGTTATTGCTAAGAAGGCATCAGAGAAGGAATAGATGTTGAAAGGAAAATGATGTTTCCATTTTTGTCATATATTTTCCTGAGGATTTTACAGTTGGAAATATATATATATATATATATATATATATATATATATATATATATATGCATATGTACATAAAATTTAAAAACAAGAACCTTAGGACTGAAAGGCTGGTGTGAAACATACACCTCCAAACAGTATGTAATTGAAAGGTTTTATCTCTTTCTTTAGGTCAGAAACAGGCATGGCTTGACAAGGAATAGTCATAAAGGAAACTGTTGGCTTCTCGAGAAACTCAAAAAACAGTCTGTCTGTTTCATTGCAGACCAAAGTTCGGAGGGAAATACTGCACCGGAGAAAGAAAACGCTATCGCTTATGCAATGTCCACCCCTGCCGCTCAGACACCCCAACTTTCCGGCAGATGCAGTGCAGTGAATTCGACACTGTTCCCTACAAAAATGAATTCTATCACTGGTTCCCAGTGTTTAATGCAGGTAAGGGGCCTTCAACATGAATCTCAGACCTAGAGCTTCTCAGAAGCTAAAAAAAGAAAAAGAAAGAAAGAAAGAAAGAAAGAAAGAAAGAAAAAGAAAGAAAGAAAGAAAGAAAGAAAGAAAGGAAGGAAGGAAGGAAGGAAGGAAGGAAGGAAGGAAGGAAGGAAGGAAGGAAGAAAGAAAAAGAAAAGAGACCATCAGGGGTTCTCAACTGTAGAAGACAGTTATACTGACTGGCTCAAGCTGACCTCTAAATGTTGAAGGCTGAATATGTCCAGTTCTTCTCTGTAGGAGATAAAAGTGATGTCCTTCAAACCCAGTGCCTCACTTTCAATAAATGAGACATGCAGAAATTTAGTTACTCATTGCTTGTTGGTGGTCCCATGGAACCAAATGTAATTTCAGTAGATATTCAGAACAGATGGGGTGGGAATAATTTCAATGTAGCTGATGAGTTTATGTATAACAGGTCTTTCTGTGAATGAAAGGCAAAGTAAGGCATTCAAAAAAGTCATTCCATATGGAGGAGAACAGCTCAAAAAAGTCAAGATAGTAAGAAATTAATGCTGGGCCTGAGTTCAATATTTCATATGTGAAGCACAGCATAAGATTACAAAGTTAGCCAGGCAGCAGTGGCACACACCTTCAATCCCAGCACTTGGGAGGCAGAGCCAGGCAGATCTCTGTTCAAGACCAGCCTGGTCTACAGAGCAAAATTCAGGACAGGCACCAAAACTACACAGAGAAACCCTATCTCAAAAAACAAAAACAAAAACAAAAAAAGAACAAAAGGAAGAAGATTAGAAAGTAAAACTAAAGATCTAAGGATGCATGTCAAGGGATGGAGACATAACTGAAGAATACAGCTATGGCTTTGGCCACACTGTCATATATAATTCTACATTCTCTCCTGAACATGAAGTCAGCGATCCTTCACCTATGCTAATCATTGTTATTTGAACAAGAAATACAACAAGGGATAGGCAAGGGAGTACAAAGAACAGCTAATCTAACTTTCCTCTGATTATTACATTCTTGAAATTACAATGTGCTGAGATGATGCAAGAGTCTCCCAGTTGGCTTCTAGAACAATTCTAGTTCATAGCTCCGGAAAGGAAACTCTACTGAGATTTGCCCACTGTGAGTCTCCAAAACATCTTGGTAGCCATCATATTTCCTTGTCCCCAGTTCTTGCTTTGTGTGAATGAGACAATTGGTTATTGCTGCAACTGAAACATTTACTTATAGGAAAACCAATGTGTATACTCACATGGACTCCCAAAATAAGTGATGACAAAGGGACATTTAGTCAGTGCCATCTATGTCTATGTTCTGCATATTGTGTGTTTTGCTGAAACGGTTGGGGTCACTGAATGCATGGGCTGAATGAGTAGCCTTCTAGGCCTAACAAACCCAAACAGCTCCACTGGTGTTGTGGGTGTTCTGTTTGTATCCCAGCCCCTCCCCGAGTTCAGAATTGGACTTAGCTATATTGAATGCTGGTGGCTCAAATAGCTTGACTCGGAATAAAAGGGTTGATTCAATTTGGCTTTCAGTGATTTATAAGCAATTATCATGTACTCACTTTTGCTTAGTATGGCTATAGGTACTAAATAAATGAGGGCAGTAAGAGTAGGCAAAGCTTTCGTATGCTTAGAGTGACTGGTTTGGAGTTTTTCACTGGAATTGAATGTACGGGTGGCTGAGCTAACTGCTTATCTGTGATTAAAAGCATCAACCCTCTCGCCTCCTGTTTCCCACAGCCCTTGTGACCTACCTACTCGTCTGAGTAGCTGCTGTTTCTTCCAAGCCACATAAAATGCATCCAAACTTTTCCTCCTCGTCTTACATATTTTTATTCTTCATTTTTAAGTTTGATATTTCTACTTCTAGTGATTACTTCTTAAGATTATTAACCCCAAAGGTTGAGCCATTCTGTTTTAGCAGGATCAAAAATGCAACCTTTGTTTGAATAATTACATTCAGTTACATGAGCTTTTTGGGGAGAGCAGATGAATCACACAGTGGAAGGGTAAGATTCATCTATTGAAAACAAGTTTTACTTAGTTTTTGCAATTTTTTGTACCTAACGATCACTTTTAGGGTCATTGCCGATAAGTATTAATTGGTCCCATTTCGGCAAACTGAAAGTGCAAACTTTGACTCGTTCAGTCACACAACCTTGTTGGTAAGGTGAAGCAGACAATATGAGGGCAAGAGTTCACCTGTAAATTGATTTGAGTGCTTTCACTTAGCCAAATTACAGATGCTATTGAGATCTAGAGGGAAAACATCACGTGACCGAGACAAAAGGATGCAGCAGGGCAGGTGAATAAATGGGAGACAATAAATTAGCACTAGAGGTTTTAGATTCTATGGCTGACATCTGGGTCAGTGAATCTCTGATACACATGACCCATGAGAATGAAGACCATCCATTGCCACCCTTGCCTCCCTACTTAGAGTCCCATGTGACAGGATAATGATATCTATAGACTCCCCTCAAAGTACCATGAAAGAAAAGCTAGAGAAGTGGGACAGGGACTCAGCATTCCAAACTGTTCAAGGGGCACTAAACCTTCCATTTGCATTGCCTTCTTCAACCGGAGTTCTCTCTGGTCTAAAGCATTGGTAAACTCTGAAAGGATAAAAGCAGTAGGTCTAGTGGAAGTGGGAAGGAGACTGGAGTTGGGGAGTTATAATGGGGAACAGCAGGGGTAAGAGGGTAGTGGAGACGAGGGGAGAGGGAAATCTACTAAGACACACTTGGTTTGAAAATGCCATAGTGTTACATAATATATGCTAATTTTTAAGACCAATTTAAAAACAGTGGTTGGTCTACATGCTGCCTGTTATTATTTTTGCCAGAAATATCTATGGATATTTTAGAGGCTTCACAAACCACACAGTTACATTCAACAGATATTTGTGTTTTGTATGTGCAGCATACTTCATATATGTTTGTATGGCCTAACACTAAAAGGTGTATCCTATACTGGGAAGACAGAATGGCGGGAAGTTTTGAAATAAGGACTTCTCATCATGGAGATATTTTGTGATTATCATGAAATAAAGGAGAGTATTCAAGTTCTATTGTTTCAAAGCTACAACATTATTATGGAAAGAAATATGTGTGTTTTATAAACTGTAAATGTTCCCAATCAAATGAAAGAAAAATGCACTCTGATTATATCATCACACTTAATCTATTCTCAGAAAGCAATCGTTGTCAATAGCACATTTTTTTTGTTTGCACAAGGATAGATTGTTCCTGCTGATTCTGAAACTTTCTTGAGTCACTAAGTATAGATCATGGAATGAAAGTTCATGTATTCCTCTCAGTTAATTGTACAGCATCTCATTACAGAAAATCAACTTAGTTGATATGTGCATTTCTCTTTGGATAAGCATTCCATTGCTGTGTGAATGTTCTTCACTTCTCTCACTAAGGATAATGCTTATTTTTAATGACAGCCTGAGTTAATAATGTCTCATGATTAAAATGACATTCTATGTTGATCTATACAGAATATTTTCACTAACAATATTGATAATGCCATAGCATTTAGTTGATAAAGATGAATTAGAGATCTTTTGTAATAGTAATGTTTAATAGTAACCACTCTGGAAGAGGTTAATGCTTTCATGTTTACAACACTAACCTTCAAAGAGCCTTCTCTGTGAAGATGAAACTCTGAAAACTTTGAGTTGGGAATAAAATTTGGGTCACAGTAGCTCAAACTCTAGTGCCGAGTGAAAAAGACTCCCCAATCCTGAACTTCTTTCTGCATCTTATTGAGCTTATATTCCTTCCCAGCCTCTCCTGGCTGGCAGTAGCTGATCAACGTACACTTGACCTGAATGTCCCTAAGAACATGGCTGTTGAGGACACCGCAAACCCACGGCCACAGAAATGTCAACAGGAGGACCTCTGTAGTTAAGACACAAGCAGGATATCCTTGAATGAGGTCCACAGTTACAGTAAAAGAAAGTCTGGAGATACTTTCTGTCTGAACAAGATCTATATTCCTTATGCTAAATGGGCAAGCTGCCAGTTATTTAGAAAATATGAAAACAGAGCATAAACTTAAAGCAAGGTTGATTGATAATGAATAATCTGCAGAGAGATATTGTGTTTGTTTGTTTGTTTGTTTGTAATGAGCAGCTGTTACAAGTCTCTTAACTACTTGAAGAAATTGGAATGAAACTCATAAAATGCCAATGCTACTTTTAATGAACTTTAGAACTCCTTAAGCTAATGATGAGGATATAGAAATGATGACCATCATTTGCTGAGCACTTATTGTTTGTATTTAGCATAGAGCCAAGTTCTTGACATACTGCTGAAGCACAAAAAGCTTAAGTCATTTTCTCATGATAATGTTAGATTTTCATGAACTGAAACTCTTTCATCTGTTCTGTGTAGAAATTATTATTTCAGCATCTAATATTTTCTCCATATATATGCATCATGGGATAATGTATATTAAGTTAAAATGGAATCCAATTGGTGTGTTACCGAGTTTGTGTAATGGTACAAAAAGTGATACCATTAAGTATCTCATCAAAGACATTTATGTGGAATTAAAAGACTTTTAAACGACATATTGAAGTGGGTAGTACTCTGGACCCTGAACTCAAACAATCTGGTGGATTAGCTTCGCCATTCATACTGGACGACCATGGGATTTACCTCTCTTATACCTACATTTTCTAAATCTTGATATAGGTAATAAAATTACTAACAGGAGTTGTGAAAGGGGATAGCCTGTATAAATCAAAACAAAGTCTAGAAATAATGTTTAGTAAAGCATTACCTGCTAGTTTCAGCAAGTCAAATTTCTTTTAATTTACTGTATAAACAAGACTAACAAAAAATCTCTTTGGGTAGTTTTGTCTTTCAGAAGGGATGTCACACATCACAGACCCACAAACCTATAACAAGCATGGGAACTTCACCACTCAGGAACTTGGTGTAGTACTTAACATGGATGGAGGGTTATTCACTATAAAAACACAGTTATATGACTGTAAGATCAAGTGCCTCCTTAAATCTTGCATTCTACTTCACACCCTGACTCATCCCAGAAGCTTTGAAGTAAATAGGCATTTTATTTTTGTTTGCAATAGAGTCTTACCGTATAGCCTTGGCTGTCCTAGAATTCATTATGCAGACTAGGCTGGCCTCATACTCACAGAGATCCATCTACTTCTGCTTCCTGGGTGCTGGAGTTTAAGGTGTGTACCAGCATACCTGGCAAAATGTAACTTTAAAATGAAAGCTCTGCAATTATTGAGGAATGGTTTCCTTTTCTGCATGTGTCCAAATACAAAATCGTGAATCTGATTTCTCAAAGTCAAATCAATGTCACAGGAATTGGTTCCCTAGACTGAACATACGAGTGAATGTTCTCATCCCTGGGAAAGCATAATTACTCCCAGGTGGCTGCCCCATGTGCTTCTACTCCAGTTTGGTCAGCAACAGTGCTAATCTCACTGCCATGATAGGAAATTGACAGTAATCCCAGTTTATGTTTTACCCTCCATTTTACGATCCTGTCCATGGCCCTTTGTAGAATAATCTCCTTGACATATTCCAAGTCTGTCCATCTTCTCAGGCAACTATGAAATCATTTGGTGTTCATCATTTACATATTCCTTACTTTAAGCTTTAGACCAATGTATCTGACCTCTGTCTCCAGTTTGTCTAGAGGACTTAGTATTTCGTGTTCAGACTCTTTGCTCTTGGCTATACTTGCTTGAGTTTTACACTTTTATTTTTACCACATGAATCATCACATCCTTAAATCAACATAGTGCTGGACACCTTAGTTTTGCATCTGATGTTTATCCACGTAGGATAAGGCTGGTCTCAGCATCAAGAGGCCACCAGCTCTGCCCATAACACACAGATCTAAGGGAGCTTCCTATGGGGATTTCTGAAGAAGGCATTCTCAACTTCTCACCTAAAGAAGTGTGGGCTTGGGGTATAGCTTCATGGTAGAGTGCTTGCCTAGCATGTGGGAAGCATTAAATTCAATTTCTAGCTCTGCAATAAAATACCACACCCAAACTATATCATTTAAAAGAAAAATACTACCTTACATATTATCCGAGCAGCACATGTACAGATACAGGTAGGTGTGTTTTATCATTGTTCCTATCTTTGTTCCCAAGGCAGTGAAAAACAGACCCTAAGAATGACTTCCAAGTGGGACCCAGGGTAAAGGGATGGGCTCCTGTGATAATTAGGTTCAGTTCCAATTTGCAAAATCTCATATTCTTTGCCTCTATGTAGTTGTCAATTTGTATCTAAGCACTTCTTGGGGTTGGGAGAAATATAACTACTCATTAGGGGGTGTGTTAAGATGGATGGTGCTGATGTTGGTGCCAAGGGAAGGGACGGCCTCCCCCCTAAAACTTGGCTTGCCTTACTAGAGAGAGCAAGTGTCACACTTGTCTTGATCCTGTATTACCTGTTATTATTGATTTTCTAGGTTAATACTAAATGTCCCAGGCTTTCTTATTTTTAGGTACATAGTTCAGTGTAGGATTGAAAAGTCTCTTCATTTACAACAAAGGGCATAATAGTATTTTCAACCAATCTCGCAAATGTGATTAATTATAAGGTTTTACTGACAAAAAGATGAAAAATGCCTACATTTTAGCAAGAGTCTTGGAAAGGCAAAAGATGGGTTCTTAAATGGTACTTGTAGGTCATGAGTACACAGGAATCTTGGGGAAGGGTCTGAGCTTCAGAGTTAACTCACAGGAATTTACCTTTTCCTCACTTCAGCGCATCCTTGTGAGCTGTACTGCAGACCCATAGATGGACAGTTTTCTGAGAAAATGCTGGAGGCCGTCATCGATGGCACCCCTTGCTTTGAAGGCGGCAGCAGCAGAAATGTCTGTATTAATGGCATATGTAAGGTATTGGGTATGTTTCTTTAATCTACAACTTTACAAAATGGTGCTTTTTGAATTTATGAAGTCAGATGTTGTGGCTTATACCCTTATGGCATTTACATGTATCCGATTTCTTCATTAATAAATGGTCAGATATACAAGAAGATAAGAACTCTCGATACTCATTAAAGCCACAGTTTGTTCTGGGTAATTTTTCCAGCTGGTATTTTATTTTTTGATTTGCTAATGGTCACAATGATATTGTTTTAGACATCAAGCAGAGTCAAACTGAAGAGCCCAATTAAAGGCACATTATGGGAAAAGGCAGCCTAGACTATTTCAAGAATATTAAATTTGAAAAAAAAAACTCATCCTAATAATGTTTTCTATAAAGTTTCTCCATTGTCAGCCTGAATGTCTCAGAAGGAAAGAACATAATAGGTAGTAATAACATAGGCTGTTGATTTTTAAGTATTTTCTAGACTCACCCTATTAATCAACTCAGGCTTTACCCGTTTAGACCTGATTTGTTAATGCTGTGAAGAGTAAAGCCATTAAAACTATTTCTTGTCACTTAATTTTTCAAAGAATGGAGGAATAGGTCTTGTGATTCAAAGCCCAGGCATAACTCTATCTAAAGAGAAGGAGCTTTTAGTTAGTTAAAGGAAAATGGTCCCATGACACCTAATGTACTGTTAATAAAACAATGCATTAGCCCTCATGCTCAAGACTAGGAAATCATTCCACACCATCATTTATCAACTATATCATCTTGGACATCTTTCTGTAAGACTCAAATTTCTGTCATTAAAATTAGGATAGTATTTTTCTCTTCTTTATTATTTCTTTGAAAATTTCATGCAATGTATACTAGTCATATTCGCCTTCCTCCCAAATCCAACTCCCAATTCCCTACCCACCTAACTTTGTATCTCTTTTTTTCCCCCATCAAGTATAGTTTCTGTTGCCTTTGTACTCTTGAATCTGTGGCATGCCTCTAAAGTGGGATCAGCCTGCCTGAGGCCACACCCTTCGGGAAATTTGATTCTCCTTCATCTATCAGCTATCAGTTGCTAATAGCTCCATGATGAGATTTTCGTCTGACTTGAGCTTGTGCGGGTCTTATGTATGCTGCCACAGCTGCTGCCAGATCATGGGTGCAACTGTCTTGCTGTGTCTGGAAAACACTGTCCCCTTGTGTCATCTGCTGCCTCCAGCCCTTACAATCTTTCTGCCCCTCTTCTCCAGCGATCCCTGAGCCTTGGGAGGAGACAGTATGATATAGATGTCCCATGTAGGGCTAAGCACCCTGAAGTCTCTTATGCTCTGCATGCTAGCCAGCTGTGTGAGCGTCTCTATTAATTATTATCTACTTTAAAAAGAAGCTTCTCTGGTGAGGGTTGAGAGATACACTAATATCTGGGTATAATATAATTGGGAATCCATTTAGTACTGTGGCCATTTAACAGAGTAATAGTAGCAGACTCTCCTCCTAGGACCTCAGACCTGTCTAGCCACAGATTCTTGACTCTGATAACAGTGACAGGTCTGAGTTTCAGCCTGTAGAGCAGGCCTCCCATCCAATCAGAAAGTGGCTGGTTGCTTCCATGACATTCATGCCACTATTGCCCCAGAGCCCCACTTTTTCAGGCCAGTTAGAGCTCATAGGGTTCACATCTGGCTAAGACTGATGATCACTCTTCTCCTCCAGTGGTCTGATAGCTCTTTTCAACACTATGAAAGCTAGCCAGTAGGGATGAAGCTTGTAGGTGAGTGCCAGCTTTAGTTCTCCATGTTCTGATCCCAAGTATGCAGTGTCTTTAGCCATATGATCTTACCCTCAAATTCTTGAGGGTACCAAGATAACTAGCAATAGTTTGTAAGGTTTGTAGGATCTGTGGGAATTTACTGGTCAACAGCTCTACAAGAGATAAGCCATTCCTGGTACTTGGCCTTTTATTTGTTGGCCTCTGGCAACTAGTAATAGCATTGTTGCTCCATTATAGGGTAACTTCCCTTTAACTCTTTGTATATATGTATACATACATCTATAGTAGTAGTTTCCATATGATTTATTCAAAATGTCTTTGATGATAGTTATTGCTCCCCGTATCCCCCACTTTACCCTTCCTTTTATCCCCCACCCATTTAGCCTTTTCTGTTCATTAGCACACTTCAGCGCTTCATACCACTGCATTCTGTCTTCTATTTCCCTTCTTTTGAAATCCACCTCTCATGGCTTCTTATTAATTTCTTGCCTTCTGTGGGGGTTCCAAATGGAATACACATATCCAAAGATTCAAAACTAACCTCCATAAATGAGAGGAAACCAAGCAATGTTTGCCTTTCTCAGTCTGTGCTACTCATAATGAGTATTTCCAGCTCCATCCTTTACCAGAAATTTTCATAATTTTGTTTTCCTTGGCAGTTTGATAATATTCCATTGTGTAAATGAACTACCCTTCAGAGAGTTCTCAAAGGATGAAACACAAAAGACTGAAAATCATTTTTAAAATGTCAACATCTTTAGCTATCAGAAAAATACAAATGAAAACCATTTTGATATTTTATCTTATTCCAATCAGAAGGTCTAAGAGCAAAAACAGGTGAACAAGCAAACAAATCAAAGTAAAATACAGTGATGATAAATGCTGATGGCCTGGCATGGGTATGGTAAAAGGGGTTACTTACTCACTGTTGGTGGGGATGCAAACTGATACATCCCCTATGGAAATCAATGTAGAGGTCAAGGCTGTCAAAAAGGTAGGAGTAGATCTACCACATGATCCAGCTGTACAGCTCTAGGGCATACACCCAAAGGACTCCCCATCCTAATAGAGGTCATTGATCATTGATGTTCATTATTGCTCTATTCACAATAGCAAGGAAATGAGAACAGCTGGGGTGTTTAAAGGACAATGAATGGATGATAAAAATGAGGATAGTGCATTGTATGCATGTATGGACTTTTCAAACAATAAATAAAAATGTTATTTTTTAAATTAGGATTTTAATATATCTATTTAATATGGACTGCCAAATATTTTTATGAGATCTTATTCCCTAAACTGTTAAAAGATTCACTGATATACACAATAAACTCAATGAATTTTACTTTGTAAAAAGTTATAACAATGTTTTTTCAACTGAGCAGAATGAAAAACTATTGCATAAATGTTTAGTGTCATAGGATGGTATATTTTCCATCTTGAAATTTCTTTTGTCTTTACCTGAATAGAGACCAAAACACAGGAGGCAAGATAGTAATTTCCAGGTTCCAGTGAGCTAATAACAAGTCATGATTAGACTTCAATTTTAAAAGCATTCAACCAAAATTTTCATTTAAACTTAGTTTTCATGGCAGCTACAAAGAGCCCCCAAACATGTATTTTGGATTAGGTCAGTTTAGATATTTCAGGACCAAACAACTCCAACTTTCTCTAAAGAAGGAATTCTGGTTAATGTAGATGTCCTGGCTACATTTTAGAAGCATCAAGACAGCTTTTAAAACTTACTGATTTCGGGCTTTATCTCAAACTGGTTAAGTCAGAATCTCATGACAGAGACACTGATATTTTAAAAGCTCCCAACTTGATTATGCAGTCAGGGCTGAGAACTGTAGTCACCAGAAAGGTAATGCTAAAATTGACTTTTAGACCTGAGTAAATTTGCATGTACAAAGATACCATTTTATTTTGCATATGAAAACCGGTGTTTTGAGCTAAATATGAGGAGTCCTGGTTGTCTCTACTGAAATCAATCAAATGGACATAATAGAATTTCTTTCAGTTAGCTTTCTCCTCTTTCTAGATGTCAGTTAAGTTCTTTTTTCAGTAGCTATAGCTGCCTACTTTCTGTAGATCCACATTAAGTTTTTAAGCTCAAAAAGTTATGTCAAATAAAATATACATAATAGTCTAGATGCATATCCTCCCAAGATCTAGGCAGTAGGAATTTTCTAGCATTACTAGTCTCCTTATTCCATTGCTATAGTCTCTGAATTAGCTCAAGACTAAGTTTCAGATACAAAAAGTAGGCCCTTGGTTCTTCCTTAGCAGGAGACAGCAAACCACCATTTCAAAACTAGCTCTGCCATCAAGCTGTCTGGGTTCAAATTCAAGCTCTGGGAACATGGATCAGGTCAGCCATTCAGGAACAGGTGGTTACAGTGTGGCTGGAGACTGTAGCAAAGAGCCAGAAAGATTGTTCTGGAAACTTCTGTCAGTGTCAACTCAGGTGGTCTGAGGATGCCTTTCCCACTGACAGGAGGAGGAAAGTCCTGTAGAGCATCCCCTGAGAGTGTCTTGAGGGAAAGTGTAAATTAACCTTGGGAGAGAGTGTTGGATGCAGTGTGAGATGCACCAGGGAGAGACTTTGCAGCGAGCCTGGAGGAACAGGCATGGGTGTGGTGGGGTCATGGACCCCACTATAAGGGTTTGAGCTCTACATTTACAGCAGTTGTGAGCTATCGAAGAGCTAAGGTGAAAGGTGACGAAAGAGCTTCAAACATGACTGGGGAAACTGCTTAGCCTCTCTGAACTACACCTTAAAGAGGAAAAGTAAAGCTCTCATAAACCGCTTCCTATCAGCTCGGTGACTTAAGACCAAAGAAACGTACTGTCTTAGAATTCTAAACGCGAGAAGTCTGAAATCAAGTGTGAACATGGCCTTGTTCCCTCTGAAGCCTTTAGTGAAGACTTTGGCACCCCATGTCAGTTCTGACTTTCAGCTACCTCACTCCATTTCCTGTCTCCATCTTCATTAGAACTGTCTTCACTCTGTGTGTCTGTGTCTGCAAAACTCTTCATCAGGGTACCAGCTACTGGGGTTAGAGCCACTGTAACCCCATAGGACCGCTTCCTCTTTTGACTGTATCCACAATGATCCTTTCTCCTCCATAAGACCACATTCACAGGTACCAGAGGTAAAGATTTCAACATGTGTGAGTGCACGTCATTGGATCTTCAGCAAGAAGCAACCTTGAAAAATTAAGGCAAGGAAAGCTTTACGCTATTGTCCCTTTTGTTAAGTGGCAATATCCTTTACCTGTTCTCTTCCACTAAGTATAGCTCTGGCCTGCCTTCATACTTAAAGTTTCATTGACTGGGAACAAAAACATCTGAGAATAAGCATCCTTCTAGTCTCTACAGCTTCCAAGGACTTTGAAAAAAAATGATGACATTGAAGGTGACTTAGGCCGTGGTGCCAGTTGGTATATAAGTTCTCAATTTGATAACTTGCAATGCAAAATAATGCTAAAAAGAAAAAGAAAATGGTGAGATTGCCATTAGTTTTCAGCATATGGAAGGCTAAACATCTGGTGAATTAGGGACCTGTTCTCCCTGATTAGTGATCAGGATAATGTATCTGCATTGCAGGTCAAAACTTGATAGAATGGGAGTTATAAGTGGTTCTGGTTGTTTTTCAAAAACACTACCCACCAGGGTGACTATCCATTTTCCAATGATGGCATCAGAGAAGGGTCATGATGAAATCACTATGCACTTCTGCTAGTGGCAGCATAGCCATCTCTGATTCCACTGGTAACAGAAAGGCCATACAACAAAAGACTCTGTTTCCAAAGTACATGCCGTCCGATTCAAATGTAGTTTTTCCTCTTCAGAGCCCACCCACCCCTTTGCCTTATCTGCAGCAAGGAGAACTGACCTATTAGGCACTTCACTTAGTTTTTAGCTCATAGGAGAAGCAAATTGGGGGAAAGATTTTGTTTGCTTTCTGTTACTCTGATAAACACCATGACTAAACACAACTTGGGGAGGAAAAGGTTTATTTCAGCATATAGGTTACAGTCCATAGTTAAAGGATGCTAAGGTGGGATGTCAAGGCAGAAGCTGGCTTGCTTCCTGAAGTTTGTGTTTAGCCAACTTTTTTTTTTCCTACACCTCAGTAGCACAAGAGATAGCTCTTCCCTCATTGACCTGGGTCCTTCTACATCAACTATCAATCAAGAAAATGCAACAAGGCATGCCCACAGACCAATCTTAGGGTACAGCCCCCTAATTGAGATAACCTACCATTTCCCTACCTGTGATAACTCTGGGCTGTGTCAAGTTGACATCTGAAGCTAACTAAGAAAGTAAGGTCTCCTCAAGAATCCATTTTATGTGCCATAACATAATACATTAGGGAAATATTCAGGTCTCTTCTCTCCAACTCTTGTCCCCTAGATATGTAAGCTAGTGTTGCTGGAGAAACATAAGCAACCACTCAAGTAGAGAGACATGGGCTTGAGAGATTCATATTTAATTTTTGGTTTGTCTTACTTTTTTATTCACAGTAAAAGCATTCCTCTGTTGGTAGAAATTAAATAAAACACTTTAAAATCAACATGTCTCAGAACATGTTTCCCTGGCTCACTCCAAATCATTGGAAGAATGAAGGTCACTGGGAATATGATTTATAAAGGTCAGCTTATTAGAGAGTGCACAAGGTTGGCATAAACATATCACTTGTGTGAGGGTTGGCATTTTATTTCTAGTCAGTGCAAACATCTATCTTGAACATTCTTCTTTCCATTGTGACTTGTATAATTAAGTTTTGATTTTCAGAAAATCTCTTAGTGCTTTTTGTTCCCCAACTAAGTCAGGTAACAAAGAGTCTTTGCACCTACAAGACAATTAGAAGTGGTTAACCTGAGGATTTGATGTCAGTGGGTTTCCATGGTACTCTACGGGCCAAGAGTATAAAGCTTCAAACCTCTCTTCCTTCCAGTAGATTTGAGGTAGATTTAAAATGAGAAGAAAACTTTCTATGAGAAGAATAGTAATCTATCTAGGCACAATTCTTATATCCAACATGAAAGAAAATTAAGGACTATGGTAGAGTTTCTCCCACATTTTCATAAAAGAAAGCCTGAAACAGAGAAGCTTATTTGAAATTCACATGGTTCATAAACTTTCAAATTCAATGGCATGATTTTGGGGGTTTGGTGCTATAGAAAACCCAAAGTTTCATCATGCCCCCTTTCCATTCTGGGGAATTTTAGAGTGAGAAAGATTTGACCATGTTAACAAAATAAATGGGAAGTAAAGGAAAGACGGTTCAGAAGGATCACTGTGCAGAACACAGAATGGACTGGATCCAGAGCACAGGAACAGCATTGAGTTTAGTGAAGAGTGAGGAACCCCTCGCTGGTGCAGGGATCATGGGGGGGGGGGGCTCTGAAGGGCCTGATGATGGTGCCCAAGGTTAAAGATTCCATCCATCCTTGGTCTGGTATCATCTCAGCTACAGGCTAGAGTCCTCCAATGGCTGCTGGTTGACCTGCTACCCTGAGTCAAGAACCAGAAAGAATAACTCTAATGAGAAATGTGAAGGGATTGAGCAGTTGCATCATCCCTGGGGAATGTCAGTAGAAGGACTTCAGAGGTGCCCATCTACACCGATTTGCTGCTCCACCAACTCCAGTTTACAGTTGGGTATTTCATACTGTGCTCAGTTTTAACTCTGACCAAGGGGAACATGAAGCTTCAATAACTGTGCGTTTCCCCTTTCTAAGTAAGTACAGCTACCCCTTGTCTCCATGAATGCTATAGTCAAGGGTTCAATGAATCTTAGATCAAAAACATTTGAGGAAAAATATCTGAAATAAGCATATAGAAATTTTTTTCTTGTTATTGTTCCTTGGAAAATATGGTATATAGTATAGCATATATATGTTATAACATATAATATAATATAACAACTAATTATATGGTATTTATATTGTATTGGGTAATTTTTAAATGGTTTTTCTTTTCTTGAAAAGAGATTCTTTTCTCATACAATATATCCTGATTATAGTTTGCCCTCCCTCACCTGATCTCAGTTTCTCCTCCCATCCCCTCAGTTCCAGAATTCCCTTACTTTGTGTTTTCTTTACTGATTCTATTTCCAATTTCAGGTCTTGAGACCATTTTTATTTATTTCTATCTGTTTGTGTTTTCCTATATTTCTTTAGGGGATCTATTCACTTCCTCTTTAAGGACCTCTATCATATTCATAAAGGTTGTTTAAAGGTCTCTGTCTTGTGCTTCCGCCATGTTGGAATACTCAGGGCCTATTGTGGTAGGATAACTGGGCTCTAGTGGAGACATATTGCCCTGGCTGGTTTTGATCATGTTTTTACATTGGCATCTCAGCATCTAGGTTTGGGATGATTATAGGTCTAGTTGCTGATTTCTTGATTTGTCTTTATTGGGTGAGTGTTTTGCTCCTTGCTTTCTGTCCCCTCTCTGGATTTTTAGAGAGTGTGTGGCAGTGTGTTACCTGCTTTCCTGGCCTGTTCTGCTGGTATGTCCACAGGGATTGTCTGCTGGTGTTGGAGACTGGGTAAATGGGTTGAGTTTGGGGAAGGAAGGTTGGAGGAGAAGGTCTTTGTGATTCCTTGGGGATGGGGTCAGAGAGGAAAGGGAGACCACAGCAGGTTTCCGCATACAGAGCTGGGGATGAGACTGAGGGAGGGGTGGATCTCAGGAGCAGTAGGAGAGGTATGGGCCTTCCTTCTGTCTATTTGTTGCCCTGGGAGGAGCTGCCCTTGGGTTAGCAGAGGGTGACTGCTGGAGTTGAGGTCTGGGACAAAGCAGCAAGTGGAGAGGGGGGGATTAGGAGGGGGTGGTTTGTGGGATCCATAGGCGATGTGAGCAGGGTTGAGGGAAGACTGTAGTTGGTGTTCTGTGGCAGCGCTAGGGACTAGACTGGGAGGATTGGGTTTGGGGGGAACATAGAGAGAAGTTCTGCAGGCATCCTACCTGATTTTCTGGTAGGTATGGTCTTTGTATTGAGTGTTATGATTAGCGCAGAGATGATTTAAAGCATGAAGATGTGCATAGGTTATGTGCAAACATTATGCCCTTTGTATCTGAGTATCTGTGATGTTGATTGTCTTGAGGCCACACATACCCCATGGCTGTGGAGGGATGATTCTATTTCTTTTGTCAATAGTGGGGAGCTTTGGTTATTCCTGTGCCTGCCACCAGGAAAAGGAAACAAGCACTCAGGCTTATGATTAATAAAGTGGGAAAGGAGAAGTTATAGGTAAAGTCAGGTATGACGTATCCCAGCTAAGTCGTTCATTCCAGCTTTTTCTTCCCCACAGAGGGTCGGCTGTGACTATGAGATTGACTCCAATGCTACTGAGGATCGCTGTGGTGTGTGCCTTGGCGATGGCTCTGCCTGTCAGACTGTGAAGAAGCTGTTTCGACAGAAGGAAGGATCTGGTAATAAACAAACCCAACTAACTGAAGTATCTAGGGACTTTGGAAAGCCAAAAAAAAGAGATTAATTTCCTTGTTTTTATTTCAAAAATAGCTTGTAAAAAAATTCAAAATAGAATATAGTTCTCACCACTAAGGAATCCGCTCCCTCTGCAGTTACAGGAACAGTGTTGGTTACTAAGAAAATACAGGAAGTGTCACACTGACCTGAAAGGGCTGATGGCTGCTCCAGGGAACAGATAACAGCGTCGTCCCTAGGAGAGCATCCTCCTTGAGAATATGCATCATAGGAGTAGCAGGATCATGACAGTGACATTGGAATAAACCAAAAGCTGGGAGACAGATGAGGTCAAAAGCTGGTTGTGAACAACACACACAGACGAATGGGTTCTGTATGTGAGGATGGGGAAGCCAGGATGGAACAGGTGGGAAGGCAGCAGTACTGAGGTGTGCCTTGAGGATCAAAGGAGAAGTAAGACAGAGATGTTTCACATCTCCAGCCTGTGAATCCCACACAATGGTCCCTTATGAGTCTCGGGGAAGTTCTTCTACCTAGCATCCCACCCCCACCCCCACTTTATCCAGGCTATTCCTTTCCTATATTTAGACCTTATAAGATTTCTTCTTTGAGCAGCCTTTTGAGCTACTGTGAGCCTACGAGGGTGTAGTGAGACTCCATTCTCACCTCACATGAGCTGTGACCCATGCTCATTTACCTCCATTAACAGTAGTTGTCATGGTACCTTGGTAAAGTCTGGTTGGTAAAGTCTTAAGCATGAAAAAGATGAAGAAAACACAGAGCATTTTAATTGAGATTTCCCAGATACACTCTGAAACAAGAATTCAAATATAGATAATTATTTATGGGACAGGAGGTCCTGGGAAACATCAGTAGGACATTGAGGAGAAAGCATCTGAGAAAGGATGGGTCACCAAGCTGGTGCTCAGCCACAGACCTTGTACATTTGTGTTTTCCCACTGGAAGAGTGAAGGGGTGGGATGATGTCCAGTGGTTTCCATTGATCAGCGTGTGGTGGGAATTCATTCTCCAGGGTCTGCAGAAGTATAGGTGCTGGGCACAGCACTGTAGCATGCAGTACTGAAGTAGATCCTTGAAGAGAAGCATTGCCAGCTGCCTAGAGGTAACCTTGGAATAGGAAATGGTGGTCACTTTCAGATACAAAATGGCACTGATTTTCTGAGTCCCAATAAAGGGGTGTCTCACTCCTAGATGTATTTAGTATGTGGGATGAAGTGCTTAAGAGTGATTCCAAGAGTATTGGGTGTTTTCTTCAATTGATTACATGAACCATTGCCGCCTTGTAAACATACCAGCAAATAGCCTAAATTTATCTAAATTCTATCCTTATCTTTTCATTTTTGACTGTTGACTGATTAAGGTCAAATTGTGAAATGAGTCTTGCCCTGCCCTTTAGTAGTATCACTGGCAGATTGCATTTCCTGTCTTCACTGATAACTTTATTATGGATGAAACACATCTTTCTAATTACTTACTGAGGGTGGAAATGATAATTCAGTAAGTGTCAAACTTATGATTAAGCATCTTGTGGTGCCTATTTTTTCAAATATCTAAACAAAGGAACTTTATCTTCTATTATTTCGATGTGATCACATTGATCTAAATTATAACCAGCCACATTAACAGCCTATTTTTCTTCTTCTAACCTCAGTTCACTTCTCCATAAAGATCTGTAGCTTTGTTCTCTGCTGTGCTATAATTCTTACATGATGTCCTGAGTTGTTCCCCCATTTTCTCTATTTGACCTTCTAATATCTTAGGAAATTGGACTTTATTTCTGCTGTTGGTTTATTTTCTTGTTTATTTTCCTTCTTCTTTAGTCTCTTGGGGATGAGAAAAGTCTTGGGGATGAGAAAAGGCAGGAATAAATAGCTTGGCCAATACCTCTAGCCACATGCTATCACTAAGCATTTGACATCTCTCTGAGTCTCTATGATTTCAGTTCTCTTTCTGTAATTTTCAGCTTGAAGCACTTGAGTGGTCTTTGGCACCCACGAATTGGTGTCAGCTTTACACTGCCCATGCCTGAAGATTTCTCGTAGACCTCTAATCCTGCCCTTCTTAGTGCATAGGGAAAGTGCACAGAGTTTCACTCTGGATTGCAGCATGTAGTAAGGTCTGCATCCATAGTACCACAGGGTACTTACCAGATTCCATCTTTGCTTCATGATTAATGAAGTTTGACACAGAATAAAAAGGCACTGCCTACCACTATCCCACCATGCAAATGAAGCAAGGTCATGCAGCTAAAGAATGATGGGATACATTTACAGCCAATTGGTGTAGGAGATTCATTTGAAGTTCAAAGCAAGAGAGGGAGCTGTATTCATTATATAGTTCTCTATATTTATTCTCAAGCTATTCGATGCTGCTGCCATGTCTCATTTTATGTTTTATTCTTTAATTTAATGTAATTAGTAACTAAGAACAGAATTGTCTTTGGTCTTTGTCTCTGCCTTCCTCAACTTCAGACGACCATAATCTCTATCTGGAGTATGAATTTGGTAAGTACTCATATAAATTTAGGTAAAATGAACTTTTCTTAAGATCGATTCCAAATTCTTTTGCCAATAAAGGACAGCAGCCCATTGGCTGTTCTAAGTTAGGATGAGGGGATATCCAAGTGGGTTTGTTTCCCGATTGCTTTGCGTTGGTGCGTTAACTCTTTTAAAGCAAAACTGCTCTTTTGGGTAATGGTCACTTCAGAGTTTTACTTGTACTCACAACTCTTCTTACAAGAGTTCTTTTAAAGGTGTTTAAGTTTTTTTTTAAAGGCTCCAATTAAAATGTCCATAATAATTAGACCCAACCCTCTTCCTCCCCATCTTCCTTCTCACTGGAGGGGCAGTTGCTGCTACTACCTTCAGCTATGGAGGGATGAAATATTGGCCAAATTCTTTTGTCTGTTGTTTCAGTGCTCATAAGAAAGAGAAAGGATGATGCAGAATTAAAATAGCTCAGGAGACAAGAATGAGGTTGGAGTCTAGATCACCATTAGCCTCTAGGAAGCCAACCCCCAAACCTCAACTTCTGAACTCCCTACTGACCCTGAGTGACATTTTTTCTCTTTGTAGTCCTGACATCCTCAGAGTTGATTGTGTCTGTGGATATTTTTGTGTTGAAATTGCACAATCTCTAAGAAAAAGTGTCCATGTCTGTTGCCTCCTTGGGATGACCTAACAACTAAATTCCTATCTTTCTTGGTGGAAAGGAATCTTATTCAGTAGACTTGATGCCATGTGTCAGATGATACCATGTTGACCTCTACTTAGTGCTGGATTTGGGGTATATAAGGACTCCTCCTTCTTAGAAAGCCTCATAGTAGCTTTAGTTCTCATTGTTGGTTAAAAAGAAAATCATTAACATTGAGAGGTAGCTCCATGATTACTGTGACTGGAAGTGTCTGGAATTGTAAGAACTTAAGTTGAAGTATCATACAATACATATGATAAATAATACATAAAATAATACATATAATACAAAATAAGAAACATAATAAAAACTGCATAAAATAAGAAGTTCCTGACTTGTTCATTAGTTTACTCATTACCTGAGAAACAATTGAGCATCTGTTGAAGAATAATGAACATAACAGTGACTCCCTCTGCAGCTGCCTTCGTTTGATACCAGTGAGGGAACAGGGCAAAGATGCCATGTTGGCATTTGACCTGTAAGTGGAAATTAAACAATATTTCTGCTCCAGAAGGAAGTTTATGGACCATTAAGCTGTTTTTTTCCCAAAGGTTCCCCAGGCTTATTATTCATATCCTAACAGTAATCATGAATTTTTATGGCCCAATTTCTTAAAAAAAAAAAAAAAAAAGGTTTACTTTTGGTTTTCAGTCGTGTGTGTGTGTGTGTGTGTGTGTGTGTGTGTGTGTGTGTGTGTGTGTATGTGTGTGCTATGCCCACAGAGGCCAGAAGAAGGCTTCAGGGAACCAAACTCAGGCCTTCCTGAAGGGCAGCATAAGCTCTTAACTGCTGAACCATCTCTCCAGCATTGTGGTCCATTTTCACGGGCCTAGACCCTTTGTAGTCCAATGTCCTCAGGTTTGTTTCTACTGCTTAAGCTCTTTTGTCAGGTTCCATATCCACTTTAAACTCAGCTGCTCTTTTCTGACACTGTTCAGCCTCTTGGACTTCTAAGAATCATCACTCTGGACTGTTTCTCTCTCCTTTAGCTTCTCTACACTTCTATTCAAGCTGCAACCACTGTACTTAAGTTCTGGCCTTGCTCGTACTGACCTGTTTGATCTTGTTGCTGGGAACGAGGGGCCACCATCTCTGAGCACCCTGTGACTTTCATAGGGCTAAATGGTTCCCTTAACTCAGTGTCTACAAGACTGGCCTTGACTCCTGCCTCCTTTATTTAATCGTAACCAGTATGTTCTTAGATTTACATCTTAAAAATTTTAAAGTAAAGCAGTTACCATAAAATGAATTTTTATTATACACACCCTATACATATACTAATATATATATATATGTATCAGTTTAGTAATTTGTTGCATATAACAACATTATTAGAACTCTAAACACAATATTTACATTAGCTGAGTTTTTCTCTGCCCAGTACATCTCACTTATAATTTCATCTTCATAAATAAGCATGGAAAATAAAAATTATATTCTGCAGTTTAGAAAGCATAAAGAGGACAAAGGAAGTTGCTGTTCCATAGTCTACTCTTGATGCCAGCATCCATGTGTTTAGAATGGGAGATTCTTGCCATATAATAATAGCATCTTCCTGGAATGACATGTGTACCTGGCATCCCAAATCCCACCGGATCCCACCAAACCCCACCTACTAGCAGTCTTGCATTTCGTTCTCACAGAAGTGTCTCACTAGTCTCTGTTATTCATCTTATTTGTTGGAAGTAATTAGAGATTGACAATTGATTGTGCTGTTGCTATCTGTCCAGTACTACAACAATGAATATTCTGAAGATTTGAATGAGTGGAACCCTTCAAGGACATCCATTGCACAGCCAGAAGGAGGAAAGATGTAACAGTGTATGAATAAGTAACATACCTACTGAGCAGGGTTGGTGGGAGATGCTTTTAGGAAGCACTCACATTGCTTTAAGACTCAAAGTTACTGACATGCTGTACCACACAGCTCAGTGTGTTTGTTGTTGACTTAGGAGAACAGACACAGCTCTATGACTTCAACATCTCAGCAACAGACTTCTCTGACAACATATGAAGTTGCCTGATACAGATGAACTCAGTGCTACCAGCCATAACATTTATCCAAGTTCAGGTAATAAGAGCCTGGACAAGGAATGCAAGTAGATGAGAGAATCACACAAGAAAACATTCCTGAGAGGATTTGAGGGAGAAGGTAGTACTCGATGGTAAGAGGGTGTGACTGTTGTAGAACCAAAGTACCATGAAGACTAGAGACTATCTTATATTGTTGTGTTCTCCTAGGAAGCCGTAGGTAGGTGTGGAAGGGAAGAAAGGGAGAGTAGTTAGACACTCCAGAGTTTTCATGTCCAAGCTAAAACCCTTCCAGGGTTGAAGACTGTATCCTTTGCTCTAAAAATAAGGACAGGAAGTCACTACCAATTTCTGTCCTCTCTCCTACCTTTCCTTCCTACCGGCTTCTAGCAAGGTAGTTATGATGTCTCACTGTATATTATGAGATTATCACACTTTTGAAATAATTAAGACTAAAACTCTAAATCTAGGACAGAGCAAATCAGCTTTTCAAAAAACCTTTTAAGAACATTAATTTTTGTGTAGTTCTCATTCTGTGACTCATGTTAAACACAGAACTGTATCTAAGCCAGACACCTCCATGCCACTGCTCTCAAGTGAGGAATCAGAAGATGGATTTTAAAAATTCAATGTTTTCTCAGGAAGTCCCTCACATAAATTGTGAGCATTAGGCCACTGGTGAATATTGTTTTGGTTGCCACTAGCAGACACCATTAATCTTATAAAAGACAAGCAAACCACTGTAGGAAATTTACCCAGGCTTAGTCGTGTGACCGCTTTATGAGCAGCTCTTTACTGGAAGTGACAATGATCAGGAACCAAGAATGCCAGTGAATCAGATCCTTCTTTTGCCCGACGTGGACTGCAAAAACAGCTCAGAAAGATGACATGTTAGATAGCAATGTCTTCAGAAGTGCGGCAGACTTTCTGCCCTATCCTCAAGGGCCTTGAGTGTTGTACACTTGGATGTGATAGATAGTTCTCCAGTGGTCTCCATGAACCCAGAGACTTCTTCTTTGAGGTCAGATTATATTTTCCACTTTTCTCTATGTGGAGGATGTTTATTATGGAGAAGATACAAGAAAATTTATACTTATTGATCCCTTTTCTGTTTCCAAGCATTGAGAAGAAGTACAAATAAATCACTAAGAGTTTCTATTCTACATTTAGTAGCCCTCAGTTTTCAGTTTGTCTGTGATAGTTATTTACCATTTTGGAAATTTCATTCTTATGTGGAAAAATAAAAAAAAAATCAAACTTAAAAATGATTTATTGTAGATGAATTTCCAAATGGTCTTATTAAATAAAAACATGGAGCCAGATATAGGGGTGAAAGCCTGGGAGAGATCAGGGAAACAGGGAAAGCCACAGCTAACCTTACCTCACCAACTCGGCAGCTTCCAAATATGAGTTACTTCATGTCTACCTACGTCTATATGCCTTGCTGTTCTGCCATCTGATTTGCTCTCTCTGTCCAGCTACATCACTTCCTCTTCCTGCCTACCTCTGTCACTTCCTGTCTGTCTGTACAGACCTCCATGGTTAATTAGTGTTGGACTTTAAGGCGTGTGCTACCTCACCTGGCTCTGTTTCCAGTGTGGCCTTTAACTCACCATAGGGTTAAGGGCATGTGCTATCGTTGCCTGACTTCTTTGTTTACTTAAAATGGCTTGCTATTTCCTCTGATCTCCAGGCAAGCTTTATTTATTAAAGCACAGATAAAATATCACCACAATTTATGTATTTTTTTCCTTTTTTATTTAAAGCCAGGAACAAGGTGGTAGACATAATATTTAGTGCTATTTTGTTTCCTTGCTGAGTTCTGCAGTGTGAAGGCATGTAGTAACCTAAATCAGAAAATGGTTACAGAGAGCAATACCCTAAAGGTATTTTTTCAAGTTCTCATTGGTTCTAATTACATGGGATAAATGTTTTTCCTGAATTAGTGGTTTTAATGAGCTATAGTGGACAAGTGCATGAAAGTCAAACAGAATTGAACTGACTCTTGCAAGACTCAGCTGGAGTTTGACTACAGGGGAAAAGAAGCCTAGGTGTGTTCAGGTGACAGGGATGGAGTTGTATTAGTCACACCCTTGTATTATGATTACAGATACCTGAAAGAAACTACTTAAGAGAGGAAAAATTTATTTTGGCTCAGGGTTTTAGGGATTTCAGTCCATTCTTGGCAGACTCCCCTGTTTCTGGGCCCCAGATGGCAGAATGTCATTCATGGCAACAGAAACATGTGGCAGAAACTGTTAATCATATGATGATCAGATTTTCAGAGTATACCCACTGTGATCTACCAGCTCTAGCTAGCCTCTACTTCCCACTTTTTACTGCAGCCTGACAGTGCCATCAGGTTAGGTTAGAGCTCTTAGGATCAATCACTTCCCTGAGCCTATCAGTTGGAATCCAAGCCCACAGTACGTGAGCCTGTACACACACACACACACATACACACACACACACACACACACACACACACACACACACACACACCCCAAATGCACGAGCACCTATGAAGAATTAATAGGATGATCGATGCCTTAAAACCAGCCTAGAAAAAAAATGAAATCTTTGAATGGTAGATCAGAGAGAATCCCCATCCATCATCCTTCAGTTCCTATTATTTGTACAGAAGAGATTCAAAGGAGTTCGATGAAGTGATGAAATTCACAGAGATAGTGTACAAACTGGAACACAAGGCCATCTTAAAGCCCATGCTCCTTCCATCCTCTGAAGCCATAGTTCTTAGCAAGCGTAAACACGGGAGTGTAACGAGCTGTTGAATAGAGGCAACCACTTAGTGTCCATTTCTTCTCTCACCAGTGTGCCTCCTACCGTGACAACCACTGAACAGAAGACAGCAGCTCGAGTTGATCAATACTTTAAAATAAATATGTGTTTTTCCTCCAGAAGCCCAGATGAGAGCACTGAAAATGAGTTATAAATTTGTAATTTCGCAGAACATCGGAGAAAACGAGGAGGGAAGGCTTCCTAATGAACAGAATTGTGCAATGGTGTGGGAAGCAGGGCTCAGAACTTAGGTTTTCATCATGGGCTGATTGAAGCAAAGCCAGGTGGCAATCAATTCAAGGTTCCCTCCAGAAGTTCTTAATGAATGGCAGCTTGTGTTAAATTATATCTAAGAATCTATTTTTGACTCAATGGTGATGATGAGGAAGAAAAGTATGTAGCCTGTGCCTTGCTTGGAAGAGCTAATCTGATGGCAAGAATAAAAGAGGGAGAGAGGAATACCAGTGGGAAACTAGCTTGGAGCTCAGACAGTTTGAACCATTCACATTGAATCACAGAAAAACAAATGTTGGGTCAACCATAAATCCTCAGGGTCCCGTCTGTATTACTCACCGATCGTCACCAAGCTATTTACATGCTCAGTCCTGAAGCTCCTGAGAATTCTGCTCCTGGCTCATCTCTTTCTAGTTCATAGTTGGTGCTTCTGCCCATCCCCGTGGCCACTCAGCATGGGCACCAAAGGATGGAGATGCTGAGAAGAGGATGGCGGGCTACAGCAGCTGAGAAGCCAGCACGCCTCCTTCATTATTGTCTCTTTTGTCCTTAGGTTATGTTGACATCGGACTTATTCCCAAAGGGGCAAGGGATATAAGGGTAATGGAAATCAAAGCAGCTGGAAATTTCCTGGCCATTAGGAGTGAAGATCCAGAAAAGTATTACCTCAATGGAGGGTTTATTATCCAGTGGAATGGAAACTATAAACTGGCAGGGACCGTCTTCCAGTATGATCGGAAAGGAGATCTGGAGAAGCTGATAGCTCCAGGCCCCACCAACGAGTCAGTGTGGATCCAGGTAATTCTGAAGAGAAGGGAGCTGCTGACCAGTGTGTTCAGTAGTATCCTTCTCATTCCCTTCCCAAGCTGTTTAATAGTGGACATTCACTGTGAATCATTAGTTTCCTTAACAAAGAACAGGAAGGGAGAAAGGTATTTGTACATTTTCTTCTTGGTTCTTTAGAACTACTGAAACCCCAGGAACAAAATTCAGGACCTCAAACCATCCATTGGGAAGTTTGAATTTAGTTCTCAGGCTGATCTCTTCCTCATGTGTCTAGTGTCCCCAGTATGGTTTCCCAGCAGTGGTGATAAACTGATGTACCATCCTATATTGTCAGGTAGTCTTTGCCTTAGTGCAACTCTTAGAACAAGGAGGCCTCTCATTATAACACATGCATCAAAGGTTTTGTCTTTATTAGGCATGGAACTATAGGATGACTGTACTGGGTGGGTCAAGATAAGTTGGGAATGAGAGATGGTCCAACCGAGTTAGATTTAGCCACATTCTAAACCCAGATGAAGGCCAATTCAGAGTCAGAAGGCAGAAGACTCTTAGAAGATGGAGGGCAAGGTTTCCATGAACATTTTTTTGTCCCAGAACTACTATAAAATAAAGTCAATCCCCCGCTAAAAGCTAGAGAAGGAACTTCATTAGGACAACTGTAATACAATTAATATCTCAGTGCTAACTTAATGTCATGTAATAATCTCTTTGTATGTATGTATTCACTTTAACCCTTATGAGAACCCCATCAGCAGTTACTTCTTAGGTTTTGTTGTGAAGATAAAGAAACTTAGGCACTTACCCATATTCACAAAGATACACAGGGCACAAGGTGACCTATTGGCTAAATCCCACAGTGAAATGTCCATATGACTAAAATTCCCTATTTACAGGGATGGAAATTCCCATGACATTTCAGCCAATAAACAACAGAGGGAGACTGTATAAATATAGACATCAAGAGTAGATGTGATAGACAGACAGACAGACAGACATAGGTGAAAACCCCTTTAGTGGCACCCATTGCAATACACACTTCTATAACTACTTCTAAATGAGAGACTTCTGTAATGTTTTGTGTACATGTGTTCATGTATATACATGCATATGCAGGTGTGCAAATAGCCCAGAGGTCAGTGTCATTTGGGCTATGTTTCTCAACTGCTTGCCTTATTTTATTTGACTTTTTGGAGACAAGTCTTGCACTAAACCTGGAGCTTGCCGACTCACTTAGACTGTCTGGCCAGCAAACCCCAGGGCCGTCCTATCTCTGCTTCCATAGTACTGGGATTATAGGTACATGTCCTGTGCCTGGCTTTTTCATGAGTGCATAGTAAGCACGTCACCTACATATCCATCTCCCTAGCTTCTATGTAATATTTTTAAATGACTGGTTTGCAATTTATACTCATGACAGTTTGACATGACTCCTCTCTCGCATGCTAGCTACTATTCCAGGTGACTAACCCTGGTATCAAGTATGAGTACACCGTCCGGAAAGATGGCCTTGACAATGATGTGGAGAAGTTGCTGTACTTCTGGCAGTTTGGCCGCTGGACAGAATGCAGTGTAACGTGTGGGACAGGTGAGAAAGAGTTGCTTTCACTCGGAAACCTGCCAGCTTTAGAGTAGGCCAAAGAGGTGACCTAAACCGGTGGTTTTTCTTTCTGTGTCTGCCAATCTTCCGAGTCTCACAGACGGATCCCAGAGACCTCTTTGGGTAGTGAATGTAACTGAGGGGGTGTGGCTTAAAGGAATGGGTATTCTGCTTGCATCTCATTGGTCTGCTTCCATCACATGGGTACCACCCCACCCCAAAGGGAGATTGGGAAATAGGAAGACACAGGAGGATGCTTGGAAAGCACAGACATGGTCTAAGGGATGGATGAGCTTTGCCAAGGCCCATGAAGGCAGAAGCCAGGCCTGTTGGTATGTGGCCTCTCGCTCATTTCAGGAGCTTTAAAAATAATGGGATATGTGGAAGCTTTGTTTCTGTGCCTGTCTTCGGACCACACTTGAGTCTGTTCTGAAACATCTTGCCTCCTTCCTGGATCTACTGCCTGTAGAATGAGCGGAACCTGCACAGCAGACATTCAAGGTGTATAATGAAGCAAGAGAAATGAAAATGGGGGACAGAATGCGCCAGGAAGCCCTTCTTCTCCTCCACGGGCTTCCTCCTTACTCTGCTTGGTCTTTTTCCTTGTTTGCCTCCTCTCAAGAAGCCATCATAGAATCTGGTCCAGAATCAGAAAATTGGGTCATGTGTAATCTAGCTCATAAACAATCCTTCTTTTCCCCAATTCAGCAACTAGGTACAGCTTTTAGAGCTCATAAGAATAAAATGTCTACTTTTATTTTTTTTTATTTTTCATTGTGTGTATGTGGAAATGGTGCATATGCATGTTTGTGCAAGTGCCTGCAGAAGCCAGAGGTGTTGGATCTTTGGGATGGCAGCTGTAAGACAGTTGTGAGCCACCTGATGCGGATGTAGAAACCTGAACGTGGCTTGTCTGCAAGAGCAACACACAAGGCTGAGCCATCTCTCTAGCCCCTAAAATGTTCATTGTTACTATATTTTATTTACTCTTTGAGAACTCATATATATATATATATATATATATATATATATATATATGTATGTATTTTGATCATGCATGTATACATATATAAGGTTTGGAAATTATTAAACTAGAAATCAATCTAAGTCAATGGCAGAACCTGGCCAGTGTTACATGGGCGTTTGTAGACAATCAGTCCTTGATTCCCACGGCTGCCTCTAGCTTTGCCCTGGCCTGTGGCCCAGGATGGGCCAGGCTCCCAGAGAAGCAAAGCAATTGTAGTGGGAAATAAATGGGGGGGTATAAAACACTTTCCCTGAGGATCATTCATGAGAAAAATGAAGTCACTGTGAATGTAGCTCCAAGTAAATTTTCAACCTGTGATCCCTCTTATTCTCAGCTCTCAGGGAAGCTCATGTTTAAACTTTACACTTAAATTATTTGTCCCAGACCGCACATAATGAAACTTACCAAAGCCTCCACAGAGAAGCAGAGCCTCTTCCACCCTCTTCTATTTCAAGATATAGCCAGCCCAGGTGCAGTATTTCAGAGCATCAGAGACAAAGAGCTAAGCTACATTTGAAGTTAGGTAGGGAAGAGAACATCCTTAACTGAAGTCCATTAGTCATTTGGTTCTGTTGAAACTTGATCCTTCAGCACCACCCCTGCCAGGTGGGGTAAGTGTCATTCTGATTATAAAGCCATAGTGGGTTGCTCATAGTGACCATGTGAGATTCACTGTATTGCCTATTGCCATTCCAGGGAGATCCCTGACTCTGGCAGAGAAAATCATGGCTATCTACTTTAATACTCAGGATACACAGAGGATAAGACACTGATATTCACACAGGGCACACAATGTGAAATGCAAAGACAGGAGACAGAACACTGAATTATTCAGTGGCCGTTTGTTATTATCTTTAGGTTCACATTTCCCACATTATAAAAATACAGAGTAAAATAGGAAAAGAATGGAAAACACAAGGGACCAAAAGGTGGGAGGGGACCACAAAACCGGGGTGGGGGGGACCCCACAAACATTGTAATCTAGCCACATCCCTGAGGTCTCTAAAGTTGGTGTCTCCCAAGTAGAAACAGTGGTTAGTTAAAACTGGAGAATGTTTTGTTTCATCCTGTTCAAACAAAATTTTTAAGACACTTTTTAATGCAAGAATCATAAAGGTAACAAAACTATTTATCAAGGCAAGTTTAACATATGCTAGTGAGTGAAGAGGATGTATAGTTTACCGCATGCTTGAAAGGAGAAAGCAGAGATCTAGTAGGTTTTTCAGCTGTACATCACCAAAACTGGTGGCTGATCTAATGGTCTCTTATTCTGCTGGTCTTCCAAGTTCCACTGCTTTTTTTAACCCTGTGCAGCCCACAGAGATTAAGCTCTCTCTTATTTATAAGCCTTTGCTTTTGTTCTCCAATATTACAGTTGCATGCTGTTTCTCAGTTGGGACATGTTCAGTCAATGTGCTCCGTGAAAAATGCCTGCTTTTCCTGTTAGCTGCTAGGTGTTGTGAGATTTTGTAGGCTTTTCTGGTTTTCTTTAATTGTGTGCTTCGCCTGACTTACATGTAGTGGATACAGGAAGGAAATCACAATTGAGCTAGAAAACCAATTTTGCTTAATTTTGTGAATGCTTCCTTCACAGAACAGAAACATCCCCCCACCCCCCGCCCAACACTATTAAACATTCTTCAACCATAGTCAATTCTTTTACTTGAACAAACTGACAAACGTTCTTTTTTCAAAATTTCCTCTAACATACCAATCAGTTTATGAAATTATGTAATCAAGTCCCTGGCATTCCAATGGGGAAAATGCTATTGGACTCACTGATGGGATATGTAAAGGTGTTAGCAATGACAAATGATAAAATGAAGCATATTAACTCATGTCTAATCAATAGTTGAAGTCAATAACAAGTCAGTGAAGTTTTTGGAAAAGATGAATTATGGAATTGAGGTTCAATCATCTAAAGGAAGAAAACTGAGTTATAGGTGTATAGAAACAGGTTTAAGTGGACTGGATGAATTAAGTCTCCTCTATATCCCAGTCTCAAATTGTATGTTCAACCTTGATCTGAAAACCTGCAGTGATCAGAGTGTCTTTAGAGAAAATTGATAACCCATGAATATATGTTATATATAGTATATATAGAGAGCATTCTCTTCTCTCTCCTTCTCTCTCTATATATATAATATATGATATCACTAACATATAATATATAATATCTACATATATATATTAGTAGAAAGTGTTGTGAAGATAATTACACACACACACACACACACACACACACACTAGTAGTGGTGAGATACAAGCTTTCCTTGACTGAGTTTTGTGTTGTGGTAGGTAGATATGAATTCATTGGTCAATAAACACAGAGCCAAAGCAGCTAAAGGAGCCAAGAAAATAAATGAGATCAATATTTCACAGGAACTGAAGTTGAAAGTTGGGAGAATAAGTTGTACTTATATAAATGGCTATCCAATCTTCACCCTTTCCTTCTTCCTGTGAAGTTAGTGTTATTCCTGTGTGCTGGTATTCATGGCTTTTTAGTGATAAATCTATTGATTTTCAAAATTGTCATCACTTCACATTATTAACATCATTTTAGATGGAGCATTAGAATTATAATTAATGTGATAATGTGAACTTTACCTTGTACTGATATTATTGTCACTAGAGTAGGTGTAAAGAAAGAGATCTTGTTCAGCACCTCAAAGACTGAGTTGATACTATTTCAGGTCCATTCAGATAATGTGCTGAGTCACTGCCTGAAGCCTCTTTAATCTTTTAAGTTTTGACATTTTGGAAATGCTGCACTCTTGTTTGCAAAGCTAAGTTCTCAGTTGTTTTACCTAACTCATCCTAAACTGAATTCTTAATTAAAAATATCTTAAATAAACTAACTGACTAACAGGCTCTATTTTAAAAATCCCAATATTAAGTTGAGATGATAACAAACGGTGTCACTGTTCTTTTGTTTTTCATGAGTAACTTACCTTTTCCTTCTTTCAAGGCATATTTCCTTCCAAGCGAATTGGTTGTAACCAGGGTTACAGTTTTAAAATGAAGGCACTTAACTGGCCTTATACCACTAATATCCAGCACAATTTATCGAGTATTTACAAAGGAATTTGCCATCTTCTGGAAATAGCATTTAGTGTGTGTGTGTGTGTGTGTGTGTGTGTGTGTGTGCGCGCGCACACACATGTGCGCGCAGGAGCACGGATGTCATTTTAGGTGGTCATAGGAATCACTTCTCTGACTCGATGTGGCCCCTGGAAATCAAACTCCAGCTGTCAGGCTTAGGTGCAAGTGTCCCAGCGCAGTGAACCATCTTGAGGGTCTGATTTCCACCTTTGAAGTAGAAGTCTCCAGTAAATATCTTCAGATTAGAAACAATGTGGTGTTAGGACATCACACAAATATTATCACACACTGTAATATTTATAAATAGTAATAACTATTGCTATTTATTGGCATCCTTACTTAGTAAAATTTCTTTGGGGGCAGTGTCTGATTTAAAGAAGAAGAACAAATGACAACCCATGGATTTGTTTTCCACAGATACAGTCTAAGCTCACACTTTCTGAATTTGCAGTGTTACATAATAGTAATTACTCTTAAAAGCATGACCTGATTCTAACCTCTCCACTAGAGCTTTTACAATGGCCTATGTTAAAGAGAGCTGCTCCTATTCCAAAACTGGATTCCAGATTAATGAGTATACCACTGAGGAGTAATAGTCTAAGTGTTCAGTTTTTATTCTAAACTATTAAGTTCATTATTGTAAAGGAGATAATATCACTCCGAGACCCCAGTAGGAAACAGTTGGCACACAGGAACTCACTACCCTGGCTGCTTTCACAGGTATGGATAGGGCTTGGAGAAATCAAGGAAGGTAAATAATGCCCATGAACACTGGAAGGTGAGGGAAACAAGGGCTACTATCCCTAGGTCGGAAGAATTAGGAGAAGGAGCATTTAGACAAAAAGATAGCACCCCAATTTCCAGGCCTTGATGGAAACCACATGCATTTGTAGGATTGCTTCCAAAAGTTCAGAGCAGGAAACTGGGAGGAACAGAGCAGGTCTGGAAGGAGGAAACAACAGCAGCAGCCCACGAGAGGAGGAGAATGAAAGAAATCAACAGAGTCGGTGCTCCGTAAACTCAGGAAGCTAAACTGGATTGGCCTTGATTGGAGAAGGGAAGAGAGCTGGCACTCATTCAGTCCACAGAGATATTTCTTCAATGTGAGAAGCCATTCTCCATCTAGTGTAGTAAGCTCTACCGCTTCATCATGCTCACAGACTGTGTGAGACAGACATTTGTACAAGGTATACAAAGGATAAAAAAAAAAATCTCTGCTATGTTTAGCCTCTCAGGTAGGAAGACTCCAGTGATTGCAGTGATTTGAGAGGTGATTCCAATGTCTGGGAGCTCGAACCATCAACTCCAGTCTCTGTCCACGGCCTCACTGAGGACTTGGGCTTTTTGTACAACAGCATTAGCATGGGTTCAGAATTCAACACGTGTGGTTCCTTCCCCAGGTATCCGTCGCCAGACGGCTCACTGTGTCAAGAAGGGCCATGGGATAGTGAAAGCTACCTTCTGTAACCCAGAAACACAGCCCAGTGGGAGACAGAAGAAGTGCTATGAAAAGGATTGTCCACCCAGGTAACCCTTGCTAACAGGATGCTGAACTTGTGTGTCATCTGCCCAGACTGCTAATTTCATAGTGCTCCGGTGCTCCATGGTAATTGTGAGCTTTGTTGTTAAAGTTAATGGAAGGAAGTTGTGAAAGGTTTCTGTGGTTGTGCTGTCAGTCTATGGCAAGCTGTGAGGACGTTTTCTTTCCAGAGAGCAATTCTTCTCACAACGTTGAGGCACTCCGTGTTTTTATTTGCTAAGACTCAATGGCAAACTGTTGAAGATAATGTACACAGCATTCACCCAGGAGTTGTTTAACTACTGGGTTTAGTTCTCCAAGGGCATGTCCCTATTGAATATAGAACTTTCACATACTAGTATTCTGAACTGACCATGTCCATTCTTAGTTCAGGCTTCCCCAAAGAGGGGACTTAGAGTGCAGGCTGTTGTCTGGGCTGGGGCTATGGTCAAGAGCTTCTCCCAGGACTTGGTCTACCAGCTGCTGTCCACAGAATCCCTCCCATTCCTGGGGCTTTATAGTGGACTAGCATCTCATCATCTCTTGTATCTGAGAGAAGTATTCCAGAGTACAGTAAAAGGACATTTTTTTTCTCCTGCAATGCTTCCTAAGCTGAGCTGATAGGTGGAACTTTTTGATTCACAGCTAAAGTTGGAAATGGTCCAACTGCACAGTCTCCTCTCATGCAGTCAATCACGCAGCCATGGCAGCCAGAATGGGAGGGCTGATGTACTCGCTCACACAGGAGCCGGGTGCCAGACAGCCACTGCGCAGTCCCAGCCAGAGTCAGGTTTCCCTGGGAGCAGATGATCTGTCTGTCTGCAATGCTGCCTGGGTGAGCACATCTGTATGAGCACATCTGGGGGAATAGTTACACCCCAGAGTCTGCTGCTGTGTTGGGAACATAATTTCCTCCAATTCCCTCTAACCAATTTGAAGACTGGACTTGAGGAAGAAGAGAAAAGTCCAAGCATTTTGACAGATCCTTTAAGATTTTTACTTCAGTTTAAACTTTGTTTCCCTTTGCTGGTACCTATTTCCTAAGGTACTACTGGGTTTTTCTTTTCTTTTCTTTTGAGGCTATTTCTACACATGGTTAATGCCAGAGGTCCACCTTGCAGTTGCTAAAAATCAACAAAATTAACAGGTCAAGTCTGAGTTGGCTTGGTTCACACTCAAGCTAATTGCACAGCCTTCAAAAGAGGATGTTAATAAGTCCAATTGCATCTTCTCTTCTGCCTCTGAAGTAAAAAGTTTGCCTTTATTTTATATCCAAGAATAGGCGCACATACAAATATACATGCACATGCAACACACAATATATTTAAAATCAGTGCTAAATACATATGATGATTACTTGACTCCAGCTAGTTGGTTTTATTAACATTTATTTAAAAATTATTTTTGTTGCTGTGCTATGTACATGTAATCCTTTTCTTATAGCTATATTTATTTTATTATACAGACTAAAATGTTTAGCAAAGGTAACAAGTCACATACGGGTCGGGTGTGGTGGTACACACTGATAGACCCCAGACCCAGGGTACTACCTTCTCGGGTGGGCACCCCAAGAACCCAGACTCCAGTCCAGTTGATGCAACAGCAAGAGGTTTATTGATGTGGCTGTACAGTCGGGCTCCTCTTGTCCTGAGAGCAAGAGTCATGCCTACTGCAGCCACATGGGTACTCTGAAAGGAAAAACCCACAAAAGCCATAAGATTACAATTCCCATACAATTTCGTTTCGATTGATTTATGTCTAGAGGCTAATTTCACAAGATCATGGCCTGATCACAGGGTGAGTACAGTCACATCCGCATGCACATTCTTCCCAAAACCTCAAGGGGGGTATCAGGGCGGGAGTGAAAGTTACACAAAGGTTACAGTGGTCTTTCCTGGAACACTTGCAATTATCTCAGTCATAGTTGAACACATCTCTTAACAGAAATCTCTTTACATGGTTACATTGTGGCAGGGGTGGCTGAGTCAGTTTGCCCTTGGAACTAGGTTTTTAGTTCCTCATTCTCCTGGGGCTTGGGGGGTGTAAGCCTGAAGGGTTAGGGTCTTTCACACACCTGTAATTCCAAGACTCAGGTGACAGGAGGAGGATGAGATGGAGCTGAAAGGTGGTTTGGGCTATATAGTAAGACGTACGCCCTCAAAAAAGAAAGGAAGGAAAGAAGGAAAGAGAAGGAAGCAATGAAGGAAGGAAGTGGAAAAAGGAAGGAAAGAAGGAGGGAGGGAGGGAAGGAGCAGGGGAGAAGGGAAGGGGGAGGAAGGGAGGAAGACAGGAAAACAAAGAAAAGATACCAACAAAATGAAAATTGATAAGCAACCAGGAAAGTCTAAGATCTTAAGTTTTGTGCAAATTCACAAAGGGCTTAAAGGGATTTACTTCTTAAAGAAACGACATTACTGTTGTTCGAATCTTAGATGGTCTTTTAATAAAACTCCTGGTACCAGATATTGGGGTAAAAGCTGAAAGATCAGAGAAGCAGAGCAAGCCACAGCCACCACCTATTACCTCACCAACTCCACAAATCCTCTGACTAAAATCCTCTGAGCCTTCCCCTGAAAGAGTCTCAGCTGAACTGCTTTAGTTCCTGTTTCCTCATGCTTTATGTACCTTTCTCCACCCTGTTGTCACTTCCTGGGATTAAAGGCATGTGTGCTTCCTAGTACTGGGATTAAAGGTGTGTGCCACCACTGCCAGAGATCCAGACGAATCTCTGACTCCAGAGTGCTAGGATTAAGGGTGTGTGCCACCACTGTGTGACCTCTTTGTCTAATCTAGTGGCTGGCTCTGTCCTCTGATCCTCAGACAAGCTGTATTAGGGTACACAATATATCATCACACATTACTTTGCTTTTAAAAATATACATAATAAACAGAGGTCGCTTGGATAGTACTGTGTATTTTTACAGACTCAGCCTAGTAGTCAGTTCCCTGATACGAAGTTCTCATGCACCTTCCTTGGTCACCTGATTTCTGTGATGTCTGGAAAGCTCACATTCATCATCCAGAGCTGTCATTTCTCCTTGCAAAAGGCTTACACTGTCTTTTGCTCAACTTCTCCAGACAGTTTTTCTTCAGTGATATCTCAGGTTTTAAATCCAATTTCAGCATTTGTTGATCTTCCCCCAAGGCATGTCCAAGACAGATTTTTTTAAAAGATTTGATAAAAGTGTCGAATTATGTAAACCTTGAAACAAATATGATGCAGCCCATGGCTTTGAGGACCAGAGCTGCCAAGAAAGACACTCTTTGGAACATCTGACCACAGGGAGAGGTCATCTGTGTTCCTTCTCCCCAGCTGACTTCTCTCTGACTCTGCTCTTTGGCAGAACAAAGTTCTGCAAGGTTACAGCTATGATCATGCATATCCCAAGAATTCAATACACATCACAGCTATTCATTCAACCCTGGCAGCTGTGTGTAGGTTTCTCTGCATGAAAGAACAGCGTGGGACTTCAATCAGAGTTTCCCTACTTCAGCATTTTTGAGTTTTTAGGCTGGATTGCTCTTTGTTGTGCAAGACTTTCATATGCATTCTAGGTAATTTCGCAGCGTTTCTGGTCTCAGTTGTCTGAGAGTTAGAGAGTGAGGTGACCTGGCTCATAGCAGTCAGAGCTGTCTGAGTGAGCACTGGAAATAGATTGAATAAATAAATAAATAAACTACAGGTAAGAGATGGGCTCAGAGGTTCCCCATCAAGATGGGACCCCATCCAAACCATAGACAAGTATTCCAGGCAAACTAAGGGCTCTTCAAAACACACAGCAGTCTCTCTATCTCTTGTCTATCTCTATCTTTCTCTCTCTTCCACACACACTTTGACATAAACTTCCACATTATTTATAACTCATACCAAAACAATAGAGTCCATTATTTGGGTGAAATTTACAGATAAAAATTTACATTCATTTATTTGGCATCGAGAACACCACTAGTTTCCAATCCTCATTGATTCTTGGTCCTCCATACAAGAGATTCTGGGTTTAGTCAGACATGGGAATATTGATACTTTTTTTAAAATGCTCCCCAAATGTTGATTCAATAATTATCTGTGATATAGACTCAGTCCTTAGAATCTTTGCATCATAATGTTAAGAGATCAACTAACATTTAGTGATTAAAGAACACTCCACACAATGTTTGCTCATTGACCAGTTGTGTGTTAGGTGTTATAAAAAAAACATTATTCATTGATACTTGTTAAAATAAAGTAACACACCCTTTATTCAACAACATCATGGGCACAGGAATCACTACAGTAGGAATTTACTGTAGAGAAGATATGATCTCAACACCAAATATAGCATTGACAAGTAGGAGTCTTTATCTGAGTATCAGGGGAAGGGTTAATGGATGGGTAGATACTAAGAGAAAACAGAGGGGGTAAAGAAAATATGGGGCTAAGCTGACCTGGCAAATATTCTTTCTCAAGAGGTGTCATGGTGATCAGACATCACCTGGGGGACAGTAGAGGCTAAAGAACCAATCAGGTATCAATGATCATCGTTAACTTGGGTGGACATTCTTATCGTGACATCTCTGTTAAAAATGGATGTCACAGGGCAGTGCACAGTGTCCAGTCAAGGAGAGTCTCATCCTTGTCAGTGCCATTGAGAAGGAACAGATTTATTTCATTTTACACTTTCACATCATGGTGCATCATTAAAGAAGCCAAAGCAGAAACCTAGAGGCAGGAACTGAAGCAGAGACCATGGAGGGATGCTACTTACTTACTATGGCTTGATCATCCTGCTTTATTACACATCTCAGGACCACTTGTCCAGGGGTGGGGAGCACTACATTCTGGAGCCTGCCACATCAATTGTTAATCAAGACAATGCCCCCACACACTTGCCTGCAGGCCAATATGATGGAGGTTCTCTCTTTGCGGGTGACTGTAGTTTGTGTCATGCTAACGAGAACTAACCAGCGTGGGAGGATTAAGAGCCAGTGGGGGAAGCTTGACCTGGAAGACTGTAACATGAATCTTAGAAGGTCTTATTAATAAAATCAAACCTGGAGTATTGGGGTAAATGCTGAAAGATCAGAGAGACAGAACAGGCCACAGCTAACCTCACCTGGCCAACTTCTCAGCTGATCCTGTTTCCTCAGACTGGAAGCCTCTGTGTCCTCATCAGAATGGATCTCAGCTGAACTGCTGATCAAAAGCCTAAAAGCTTAACCAGGCTCTAGTTCCTGGTCCTCACACCTTACATACCTTTCTGCTTCCTGCCATCACTTTCTGGGATTAAAGGCGTGTGTCACCATGCCTGGCTATTTCCAGTGTGGCTTTGAACTCAAAGAGATCCAAATGGATCTCTGCCTCCAAAATGCTAGGATTAAAGGTGTGTGTGCCATCATTTTCTGGCCTCTATGTCTATCTAGTGACTGTTCTGTTCTTTGACCCCAGATAAGTTTATTAAGGTGCAAAATATATTGGGGGACACAATATCACCACAGAAGACGTTAGCAGGAAAACTGAAAAGTGGATGGATCTCATTCTAAGCTGACAAGATATGTTAGTCTAGCTTGTACTGCTAACAGGACACCATAGACCTGGTAACGTATAAAGAACAGAATTTTATTTCTAATTATTTTAGAAACTGGAATTCTAAGATCAAGGCATCAGCCCTTGGTCTGGTGAGGCCCCTCTTGTTGCGTCTCCACACAGCAGCAGAAAGGGCAAGAGAGGGGAAATGTATCCCCACACAGTAGAAGAGTGAAGGAGAGCAGCCCACACGTACAGTTTATAGTAGCATTCATCCATTCATAAGCGCTCTGTCCTTATGACCCAAACACGCCCATTAGGCTCCACCTCTCAACACTGGTGCATTGGAGATGTAGTTTCTAACTCATGAACTTTAGGCAACACATTTTAATCATGGCACAAGCACACAATCACTCCATGGGGACTGTGGAGGAAACTCCAGAAAGGGAAAAACAGGAAGGGCCATTATCACTCTGTTAAAATACAACTGAAAGCCCTGTAGCAAGTAATTAAATAAATTAGGCTTTCAGTCATCTCAGATTAAGGTCTTTCCAGAATGACATTTTATGTATTTAGTAATCTGCCTTACCTCCCTTGAAAATGTCAGAGGTAGGGCAAAGTAATTAGATTAATACAGTGGGCATTAATTGGCTTTCACATCAGACTGTCAAGTATTAGCTCTTTATTCATACAAGGCAACCAGAATTAAACACCAAAGAAGAAATCAGTGATCTTAATTACTTGCTAAGTGAAGAAAATAATAGAATTCAGAAAGAACTTTCTTCTACAAATTTTAACTTGAGATTAAAAAGTATGAAAACCAAAAAGAGTTCTAACTGTGCAAAAATAAAGTGTGGAAAATAAAAATAATAGAAGAAAGCTTTGTCATCTTTACTTTTACCAAAGTTGAATACTGTCCTAAGGCCAGGAGACCTTCTCCAGGTCAAGACTGCAGGATTTCCCATAATGTGTTATTTTCCTGTGAGAGATAGAAATGCCCCCCTTTATTGGTGCATGGGAACTTATATGGAAGAATTTCATATTCACAAGGCAATGATGGACCCAAATTGTACTGGGAGAGGAGACTAGTTCTATTTTCTGTGCTGGAGAAGGTTTGCATGATGATGGAGAAGGAAGAAATGAGAGGATTCCAGTAGGGACCCTGTCATTCTCCAAAGCACTCCACTGTAGCCATTGGGGCCATCCTGGAACATTCAATTAATCACGCATAAACAAAGAACTCCCCCATTAGCTTGTCCTCGGAGAATCCAAAATATTAATTTATCCAACTGTTTAACTTCTTAGGAATGACTGAGATGGAAGAATTTTCTTATTTTTAAGTTCTTTTTCTCCTTTATCAAATGAGTCAGTGAAGCTGTGAACAAGCAGGTTGCAGAAGGTTGGAGGCAAAATGAAGGTGATGAGCTAGATTTCACATCACCTGAGTCATACAAGGGTGTGCTTCTATGCGGCTCATAGTGGTATAGAAAAACATTCGACTGAGAGCCCGGAGACCTAGAGAATGACTGGATACTATGACGCCATACCTACAGTCAAAATACCAATGCATCACAAGTGACGGGGGGAGGGGACACCCTGTGCTCTTTACTTTGCATGAATTGATATTTCATTTAACCCATGGTACTGATGAAGTAAGTACCTCACTAAACAGATGACAGAGTGAAGCTTAATGTTGGTTGAGGCTACACAGCAGAACCTTGGACCTCAATTTTCTTGACTTAAAATGCAAGCATAATTTCCCATTAAATGACATTGTTCTTTTAAAGCAAAATTTAAAGGTTATGTGTGTAAATGTTTTGCTTGCTAGTATGTATGTGCAGCACTTGTATGTCTTGTGTCCTTGGAGATCAGAATATGGCATTAGGTCCTCTGGAAGTTACAGATAATTGTGAACTAGCATGTGGGTGCTGGCAATTGAACCCAGGTTCTCTGAAAGAGCAACAAGTGTTCTAAAATACTGAGCCATCTCACCAGCCCCCAAAATGTGATTATTTTTAAGCAACTGTATATGCCAGGATCTTTGCTGGGCTCTGGGGTTTATAATTGAACAATCACACTGACCCTGTCTGCAGAAAACAGCCACAGAGCCTGCATCATCCCCAGGGATCTCCCAGCTTTGTACTACATGCTTGCCTACTTTCTCTCCTTGTGGTTGAATGAATGTACATCTCTTTTGGTGATCTCCTCACATGTCCATGTCTGCCTGCAGGTGGTGGGCAGGGGAGTGGGAAGCATGTTCGACGACATGCGGTCCCTACGGAGAAAAAAAGAGAACAGTGCTGTGTATCCAGACCATGGGCTCTGATGAGCAGGCTCTCCCAGCTACAGACTGCCAGCACCTGCTGAAGCCCAAGGCACTGGTTTCCTGTAACAGAGATATTCTGTGTCCATCAGACTGGACAGTGGGCAACTGGAGTGAGGTAAGCTCAGAGGTTGAAGGGACAGTGATATTAGCCTTGCTTCATCAGCTGCTTACTCATTCTTCCAAAATGACCTAGCATAAAATTGCCTACTCTACAGCATCCATCATGTCTAGCTTGCTTCCTGCATTTCCTGTTCCCAGCCTTACAAGAGCACATCCTCCCTTGCTGAGCGGGCAGCTATGTACTAGGAATCAGGTGGATCTCACTAATCCAGGCTCGTGTCAGCTAATCGATTCACTATTGGGATATCGGCTGACCCGTTGTTAAGCTATTGTAGCAAACCAAAGCCACACACACATACCACAGCCTCCAAAGCCAGTCTTTAAAACACTTGGCAGTTCACTGTTGTAGTTAACTAAACCCAAAGGAGGCTTACTCTGGTGGCAAAATGAGGAATGCACTTGATTCAGAGACTGTTCAAATCATTCATCTATTCAGCATGCATTTGGAATATCTGTTAATAGTTCACAAATTCAAATTAGTATTGCATTTTCCCCAAATTAACTTGATCTAATTCTCGGGGTATAATTAGAAATCAGAGGGCTTAAAGGTTATGAGGGGGGGGAAACGGGCTTTAATGTTCAATGTCACCATGATGTCTGGATCTGTTGGACTTTGCTGTGCCCCAGGATGACTGGGGAGAGACAAGCTCTTCTTTCCTCAAGCTACCAAGTGTCTCTGAAGACTTTGCTTCCGCTTGCCTGTGTGCATTTCCGTTATGACCTAAGGAACAGCCAGACAATAAATGACCTTTAGAAATGAACACATCAGAATTTTAAGGACAATACTGACTTCTTTGTATGTGCTTTTTTTCTTTTAGTCAATTTTATTAAGTATAGTTGGCACATGCAAAAACCATATATTTCAAAGTGACAACTTGACCCATTTTGACATGTGATCAGTGCCAGGAGACCATCACTGTAGTCAAGAGAGTGAATATATTTACTTCAGGTGGTCTTAACTATTTGTAAACAAAAGAAACAAGATTTTTATTGGTATTTTCTGGTTTTGGGCCATGCTTTTTGGAAGTTCTCTTCCTGAGTCCTCACTGTCTTGAGGCAGGTGGTTGATTATCTTTTTCCTTTTATCCTGTGGTCCACATCTCACAGGCTCACATTGCTCTTTTAATGAGTTCGGTTCATATCATGGGGGTAGTTGAAAGAGCACAGCATGTACTTGGGAGACCCAAGTCTCTGCCTTGCTTTGTTTCACATCTTGACTTTGAAAAATAGTGATAACTCGCCAGGTTGTTGAGAATACCACAGAACCTCTTCATGTAACAGGATATAGAAATAGAGCTTTTTACATGGGCACCATGTGCCAATATGTGTGCTTTTCCACTGCAGAGCAACTTTACAAAGAAACTTCCATAAACCACTTTAAGGCTTTTGAACTTTTCTATTTAACATAATAAAATGAGTTGAGAAAAGAGCAAGTCCTAGTGCCTCCCTCTCCGGCTGCCTTGTATGTGCTTTTTAAGAAAAAAATTGCACATATTTACTGTGTATGTGTACACATGCGCTGTGCACACTTATTGAGGACACAGAGGAACTGTGAGCAGCATCAGTAGGTTCCAGGGATCAAACTCAGGTCATGAGGTTTGGTAGCAAGTGCCTTGACATCCCACTGGTTCCCGTGCAATTTCTTGAGAAGCTGCAAACACTCTATAATGATGACAAGGAATTTTCAGAAGCTTTCCTGAGGACTTGTCTTCAGGGAAGTGGAAAATATTTGGTGCAGAAGAACATTATAGAAAAATAACTAGAATGAACATTGATGAATAAATAAGCAACATACTCAGTTAAGATAAAACATTTGTGAAAGTGTTTTATGAATAAAGATTTCTTGTGTAGCTTATAAAGAAGAAGTCTAAATTTTACATCAATGAAATTGTCTTTTCTGAAGATACTTATTTGAAATTAGAGTACTCGTGTGAGTCAAACATCTTTGATAACCTTCCCAAGACAGTTACTTTAACAGATAATCATAGTTGGGATCATTTAACTTCTAGTTCTGTGCAGGATGTTCTAGTAGATATGTGGGCTACAGCAAAGAAATGGAATTTATGGTCTCTAGACTACAAAAACTTCCTTTCAGATGAGAGACAAGGGATGAAAGAGTTGGGGCAGAAGAGGGGAGGTGGGCAGTAGAGAAAGACCTCGGTGGATACATGTAACAATAATATGTCTAGCAGTTAATATAAGCACATTATGGATTTGTGCACTGATACATCTGTGTACTTCAATGGCAAGTAAAATATCCTCCCTGCTATTCTTGAGAATAAGCAATCATAGCATGCATTTGGCCTGACCTGTTCACCACCAACCTAGACTGCTATAAATTACAGTGTTGTCAAAATAAGACTGAATGGGGTATTGTGATGGACCCATTAAATTTGTTTACCAAAAAATGTGTTGGATGCATCCAAAATACTTAATAATTCTTGTCACGTAGAATTTACTAATTGCCAGAATCCAGGGCTTTCTCAAAAGACTGTAATTACAGATTTGGCTGAGGAGACCTTCCTGCACCCACGTGTGCAGCACATAATAACCGGCCTTAGCTGGAAAGGAAGAGACCAAAAAAGTTGGCACGAGGTGACCAGTACTAGTGTTGGTGGTTCCCCAAACAGGCCATTGTGAAGCTGATTGACAGTACATGTGGAGTCCCGTTTCTAGCTTCCTCTTGCAGTGCTGAGCGGGAGTCAAGCTGGCACCTTTATTAGGAGAGGTAGGCAAAGTGCCCTGTAGGTAAATCAGCATCAGTAGATTTATTGGATAGATGTTTTTCCCTCCTTCTGTTGTCTTGATAATAACCTTCAATGAACTTTGCTGAAATAGATAAAAGTAAATGTCTTTGACATTCTAACAATGCCAAGATACCTTTGTACAGTTTTATGTGTATGTATTTTTATTAAAATTTTACATATATATTTTATCTAGCTTTCTTTTTTATTAAAAATATAATCTTTTCCATACAATATACTCTGATCACAGTTTCCTCTCCTTCAGTTTCCCCCACATCCTTCTCCCCTCCTCTCACCCCAATCTACACCCTTTCTCCTTAGAAAACAAACAGGCATGTAAAAATAAAGTAAAATAAATAGGACACAGCAAACAGAAGCATATATATATATGGTTTTTCGAGACAGGGTTTCTCTGTGTAGCTTTGCACCTTTCCTGGATCTCACTCTGTAGTCCAGGCTGGTCTTGAACTCACAAAAATCCACCTGCCTCTGCCTCCCGAGCGTATATTTTGATCATACTCTTTCTCCTCCATCAACTCCCAGATCCTCCCCACCTCCCTACCCACCCAACTTCATGTTCTTGCTCTCTTTCTCTCCCCTGAAACAATCATAAAAACAAAAAACAGAGCTCAAAACAAACAAACAAATACCCAATAAGGCAAAACATACTAAAACAAATAGCACATACAGAAAAATGTGGAGTTTGCTTTGTGTTGGCCAACTCCTCCTGGGCATGGTGCCTTTCCTGGAGTGTGGTTCATATACCCAGTGATACCCCACTGGGGAAAACTGATTTCCCTCTTCCAGCAGGGATCAATTGCAAAAACTTCTTGATTAGGGGTGGGACTTTGTTCCTGCCTCCCCTTCTCAGTTCTGAGATTTTTGTCTGGTTGGAACCAATACAGGTCTTGTGCATACTGCCAATCTCTTTGAGTTCATACAGGCATCAGTCCTGTTATGCCTGGAAGATACTGTCTTGTTGGAGTTATCTAGCACCCCTGGCTCTTTCTACTTCCTCTTTGACATATATCCTTGAGCTTTTGGAGGATGGATTTGATAAATACATCTTATTTAGGGCTGAGTGCTCTCACTCTGTACATTGTCCAGCTGTGAGTCTCTGTGTTAATTGCCATCTACTGCAAGAAGCAGCTTCCCAGAAGAGGATTGAGTAGTGCACTGATCTAGGGTATAGCAATATGTTTATTAAAAACATTTTATATAATATATTTTGATAATATTCTTTCCCATTCCCCATGAAAAGATGATAATCATGATTCTTGGCCCACAGTATTTGTCATCAGAACTTTGCCTTGATACCTACATTGTTTGAAGCAGAGAAGTGCTCTAGATCTACCTTGGTCTGCACTGAGCTGTGGATTTGCTTAAGTATGAGGTAACTTGGCCAAAAGACTCCAAAACTGAGAACTCCTAGGTTGCTGTTGAATGGTCCTCACTGTGACTCCCAAGATGGAAAGGAAAAAAGGAAAATTCATGAGATACCCAAAGCAAGGTTCCTCCATTAACCTCTCATAAAGAAAAAGTCGGTTCTGCCATGGCAGTCCAATACATTCAATTCTGAAAAACAGTGGGTGGTTTGGAGGGGGGCTTCTCCTCTCTGCTCACCCTAGGAAACCCTTTCTTGTTTCCTCTTCTCTCCAGCCTCTGTTTCCCACCCCAGCCCAAACTGAATTCATTCTCTTGACAACCACCTTAATTTCAAACCTTGCCAAGGACCTTGTCTTGCTTTGACTCAACCTAGTTTTTCAGCCCAGAGAATGGCAACTCTATTTATTGTAAAGAAAGGCAGATTAGCCAAGTTTTTGTGGCTCCCATTTTTTCCCTCCAGTAGTACTCTTCCATGGCTTGCCGTGTGAGAGGCAGTCGGTCTGGTGACGGGTTTGTGGTTACTAGATCATGGCTCCCTTGCTTTAAATCTTGGCTCTACCACATGTTAGATTTAATCTCATTTTCTTTGCATTGTTCTCATTATCCATAACATAGCAACAGTTGAGGCTTTTATACTTTCTCTAAGTATAGATGGATTCATATTTCCAAGTTTTTGCCAGCACAGGACCTAGCAAAATTGCTAGAGATATAAACAGTGGCTAAACATTCGCTCATATGGCAGAGGGATGGACATACCAATAATGCCACCTGTCATTTGTCAGATGCTTTCCCTGACTGCATAGGCTATTTTGTTTAACCCTTAAAATAGCTCTAAAGGTTGATAGCAGTTCATTAACTTTCATTT